TATATGTGTATGTATGCATTTGTATGTTTGTATATATTTGAACTCAGTATGTTTAAACAACCAAAGGTACATGTGCTCTAAGGATTAACACATCTACACCTATATACTGCTATTGTCATATGTTAATGTAAACTTTTCTGATGTGTTATCATTTAGGTGGAATGAAGGAAATTGCTCTACACACGAACAGACAATACATGGGAGGTCTGATTGGATGCATTTCCCACTTAACACTCTCTACAGACTTCCACATCTCATTGGTTGAAGATGCCTCAGATGGAAAAAATATTAACACGTGTGGGGCAAAGTAGAATGAAAGAACTCTTGTAGTAGACTTATGATCCCTTTTTACTCACGAAACAAAAGAACTGTTTGCACTCCTAAGGACAATTTGACATTCAGGTCCATCTAAATATGTTTCCACAAAGCAGAAGTGTCTTACCAAAAATCAGTAACGTATATTATGGTCTCTGTTGTTTCTATTTCCAGGACTCTTGAATTTTAGATTGGTGTGGGACTTACATGATATAAAATGTGCCTTTCTCATAGAAAGATCACAACATTTTTTTTAAGTCACTGAAAGATCCCATCATGTTGAGTGAAGTGTCACCCAACCGGCCCATTGTCCTATTCAACAATACCTGGTCTGCAACAATGTTTTATCACCAAAGATCTTGTGCATATTATGTGTATAATAATATAATATTAATGATACATGGTTGGATAAATAGATCAATATATTTAAATGGTGTTCTGTTTCATTGGCAACATGTATATAATACCAAAAGGACCACCAGTGTGCACAGATACCGAACCCAAAAGGTGTTGATCATCAGAAGCGGACTTCTGTTATTTCTTTACGACATTCCAATTTGTTTGTGATGTTTATACTGCCTCTTTGTATAACTGTAACAAGACTCAATCACAAAATGTTTTTTCCCCACACAATAAATGTATCCCCTCCAGCCCCCATAGAAAACAGCTGCCTTACAATATTTATAATGTTTGTTATGGATTAAGGTTTGGATTTGTGCTGAATTCAGACATTATGGAATAGTCTGCCACTTGAGTGAAACTTAATTCAACAAATGTATCACTCACTGCTCACTTGATGACCAGGTTTGTAGCCCATCCATTGGGATAAATTAATGAAATGTGCACCTCACACAGTGAGTTTGTGGGTTATAGGTTTTATTTTTATTAATCAGGAAAGTTAGCACGTTTCAAAACCCATGGTTGGATTCCTAAAGAATGGGAAGCATGTATTTATTTTTATATTCCTTCCAAGCTCGGTTAGTAACACAAGAGATTCTATGATCTCTACAGATTGCTACAAAACAAACCTTTGTCAATATGAAATAAACCCTCGAGTTGACTATCAAGCAGCTGAAGACAACTTATCTGTTTCAAAGCCAGCGAGAGGCAACCTGTAAAATAAATGACAACTTGCATCTTCCTAAGATTTCTAGAAATGGCAGTCTTTGGTTACAAAGAAAAAAAACAAAACGAAAAACCTTCAGCGAATGAGCTTCATTGATTTACCAAAGTAAAACTGTATTAATGAGTTTTATTCTCTAAAATTTGTGTTTGAGTGAAATACTTAACATGTGCTACCCTTCCATAGAAAATTCATATGAGGCTGGCTAGACAAAGCATGTTGTAAGTACTACGTTAGCTTTAATCCATTATCACATAAAAGTAATATGTTTAACAGAAGATACAGGGTATAAAGTACTTGATTGTGAAAGTACCTTTTTTCAGACATTACTTAACCAATCTAGGAGCCCATAGTGTGTTGAAAACTTAAATGTTAATAAGGAAACAAGTTATGAGAGTAGCGGCCTTAACCAGATATCTCCATACTTTTCTTGGAGTGTTCTAAACATTATAGATAAACACACGGACCATCCTTTGATAATGTCCACCGTGGTGCATTTGTGATCTCTTTCTAACCAAAGTATGTTGACCCCTAACATTTGTGGTGAAGTTAGGTTTGCTTTAGAATTGGAATTTACATAGGTGGCATTTGATGCAGTATTATAGTTTAATATATGCTTTGTTTTCCCCAGGAACTGGAGCCCAAACTAGATCTATTTTGTTTATGGCACTCCACCTGTTGGTATATTAAAATACTTGGTAATTTTGTGAACAGATGACTTCGAACATAGTCATCAGACACTTAAACCAATTTTATGTACCAAAAAGTGGAATGTAATATGTGTAAAAAAAAAAAAAAGGCAATTTTAATAATATAAACATTTTGCCCAAATAAAGCATTGTTCATGAGAAGGATGTTGATCTACAGTATTTTATATTGTGTCCTAAGTCCTGGCCCTCTTTGTAGAACAGAACTAGAACTTTTGTATATGTATATTTTTATAGAACCAAAAACATAAAAGACTTTACCAAATGTACTTTTGAACCTTAGGTGTATTACACTTTTTGCACAACTTCCTAAAACATATAAAAATGTTTTGTTTTTTTGTGTGTCTGGAAATGTTCCCTTAGAGTATCTTTTATGGTAAAAGTTGTATATAGAATGTGTCTGTTTAAAACAGATTAAACAATTTTGTCTCAATGTTAAGCGGTGTTTTCTTAATAACTACCCACTTATGTGTTCAGTATGTTTTATAGGCACTCTACTACAAGCATGTCAAACTCAAAGGCTAGCAAGGGCCAAATAAACCAGGCTTAAGTTTATGTGGGCCGCAAAAAAAACCCTAAATCTCAGTGTGTGTCCCAGTCTACTAAATTCCAGTCCCCCACCCTTGTCTACTATATGCCAGTCCCCCCCTCGTCTACTAAACCCCTGCCCCTGTTTAAAAAATAAATAAATGAAGCCAACAAGCAGTGTCCGACCTCTGGCACACCCCCAATGGCTCCCGTTACTCCTTGAAACCCTCACACACATGCTCCCTCACAGACAGCCATACATACAGACCCATACACACACACTGGGTTGGTTTTATCTGGTGTCTAGTGGGGCTGCTGGGCAGGCGGACAGGCAGTGAGTGAGCGCTGAGTGTAAGCTCTCCCTGCTCAGCTCACATGTGCGCCGCAGTGATGTCATATTCCGGCTCCTGGCATCACTGCAGTGAGCTGTGCAGGGAGAGCTTACACTCAGCGCTCCCTCGCCGCGGGCCGCATAAATATTAGTTGCGGGCCGCAAGTTTGACATGGCTGCTCTACTGTTTTAAACAGAAGGAGATAAACTCAAGAGTAACTTAGAGCAACTGTGTTGCTGTAACACAGCTTTCATTGAAAAGACTGATTGGACAGCTACAGAAATTCTGTGCTGGGAAAAAATGGGAGGGCTTGCACTAGCTGCAACAGTGTATCTGCAGATATTGCAAGCCAAGATTTTAAAAACAAAACAACATAACGAAACAAAATAAATGACATGCATATTCTCTTTATTGTAATGGCATGCTCCTTTACTTCTTGAATTATGATACAATATAAACAGTATTCTATGCAACTGTAACATATTCAGCCTCACTGCATTTGCGCCCAGCGGCCGTGCATCTGTATCTGTCTCCTTCGGCATGTTAATGGACGCCGATCACTACGGATCCATGCCAAATTATAGCCCAACGTCCGTCCACGATGACTACGTCAGTGTGAGATCATGCGGGACACGCGCTTGCATGTTCTGGGGTCAGGCTGATTTTCAGCCAGAGTTAAAATAGGCTTATTTAACCCCTTAAGGAAACATGACGTGTGACATGTCATGATTTCCTTTTATTCCAGAAGTTTGGTCCTTAAGGGGTTAAACTCCTTCTGCCTTTTCATCATTGCCCTGTCGTGGTTTCCTTAGTAGTTGTCCGAGAGTGTGTTTCTGAGCATTTATTTCTGGTTATTGACTTTGGCCTCGTATTGACTTCCCTGTATTCTGGTGTCTCTGACTTCTGGCTTTCCCTAATCGTTGTGTTTCTTTCTGTATCCCCGACCTCAGCTAGTATTTCTGACTATTCTCTGGTACGTTTAGTCCAGCCATTCTAAGGCCCGGTAAGACGTTACCTGTTAGTCCTAGGTGTGACACAATTCTACATGCTGGATAAACTAGTAATCCTGACAGCAACATCCTGGAGATAGTGGGTGTTTGAACAATATCTAAAGTTTAACAAATAGGTGACAATGATATAAATAATAATACAAGATCGAACAGAAATGGTAATTCTGACTGATTAATAACCCAGCTGAGGATTAAAACGGCAGAGGCTCCAAATTGTTGTGGATCAGTGTAACGGACCGCTTTGCACACAAGGGGTAAAAACCGTTTAGGCGATCGGCCCCCTTTCCAAAGATACAGGCACAGCTACTGCAGAACACCAAACTCCCGAACTGGATACAAAATAGCACTCCAAACTCCCGAACTGGAACCTCCCAAATAGCTGCTAGCAGACGAACAAGAAAAGCAGACAATTAGCTTACACTCCTGGCAATCAGTCTCTAACAGCATACAGTGAATCCCCCCAAGAACGAGACAAGGCTCCGTGTTGAGGGTCAAGCAGTGGTCTGATGTTTAATGGCACACACTCTGCTTTTATGAGATTCTGCCCATGCAAGGGAGACACCCACATAATTAGCAGTATAACCAATCGGAACAATATACATTCGGGGAAATTCCCATCCCTCAGATAATCACATAACATAATTAAAACAGAACAGTTTTTCCCCATACCCTGTAACTTTAAAACCATACATCCAATCTTCATACAAATTACATATTTGGAATCAATCCATTCAGGGGAGCAACATATTAAAAATGGCACAAATCAGACAAGGGGTTCAAAAGTTAGTAAAAAGTCCTTTGTGACTAAATGAAGCATGGCTTTCTGGCCCAAACCAGTTTCAGAGTCTTCTATCCTGGAGAGTAATTCAATTATCTCCCAGGACAGACACAAGACTCCATTAAGCACATGGTTGCAAAAAGACACAAAACACTTTAAAATACATAAAGTCACATTTATTACATAAAACACAGACATGTAACATATCCCCAGATAGCTCAGGTCCGAGCGCACATTATTAAGCGAATGGCGCTCAGACCACACGAATACAGTTTAATCGCCATGGAGCCAAAGTCCTTACAGTCAGTTTCATATGAATGGGCTCCATGGGATTCCCATCTGGGGTATAACACATTCAAACAAATCTACCGAACCCCAGGCAGAAAAGCACGAATGAAGCTTTTCTGCAGGTAAAAAAATAATATAGGATATCATTACATGACACCTATAAGCTTGAGCCTTGGATTCAAGATAAATTCTATCACATATGCTACCAAAGCCATTTAACATTTTACTTTACTGTAAGTGATGTGAACACTGTATACACTATAATTCCTACAATGTTTTAACAGGGGGCCATAGTCCAAAGGCAGCAGGCGAGCAACCAGGCTTCTCCAATGCAATGTGGCGAGATTGGTCTCGTCACAATCAGAATGTTGATCTTTGTTATATTCAGAGTAAGCCCAAATTGTTGTTACAAGTGCACTTGGAGAAGCGAGAATTAGACACCAGACACCTGTTGGTATTCAAAAGCCTCTGCCGATTTATTCATCAGGTGGGTTTTATACATTATAAAGGAAGTGCTTACGTGCAAATACTCATAGAACAGTAATAGGAAGGGAGTACAGATAAGACATAGGGATGAGCGTCATGTACACATAACAAATAAGTTCCAAGGTAAGAAAGAACAAAAAGATTAGAGAAGAGACATCTTAGGTGGGGGCTCTCTGCTCCCGGAACTAGACATATATGGTCTTAAGTGTTGTTTAAGCATCAAGCATTTCCTGAGTCCAAGTTAGCCAATTTTAATATAGGATATCATTACATGACACCTATAAGCTTGAGCCTTGGATTCAAGATAAATTCTATCACATATGCTACCAAAGCCATTTAACATTTTACTTTACTGTAAGTGATGTGAACACTGTATACACTATAATTCCTACAATGTTTGAAGTTGTTATGACTACAGTAGCTCCCCCTGTGTCCTATCCTCCAAAGTTCTATATTTTAATCATTTGATCCATTGCTTTCAATTCAGCTATTTTATTTGAATTGTAGACAACTCACATTTCAGTGATTAACTTTGTCAACCAGAATTTGAGTGTTTATTCCTTTTATCTATTGCTTGCGAGTAGACTGAAAATAAACTTCACATATCTTGACACAAATAATTTGTATGAAGTTAAAGGACCACTATAGGCACCCAGACCACTTAAGCTCAATTAAGTAGTCTGGGTGCCAGGTCCCTCTAGTTTTAACCCTGAAGTTGAAAACATAGCAGTTTCAAAGAAACTGTTTCACTGAGGGTTAATCCAGCCTCTATTGGCTGTCTCACTGACAGCCGCTAGAGGCGCTTCTGTGATTTTCATTGTTAAAGTCACAGTGAGAAGATGCTGGACGTCCATAGGAAAGCATTGAGTAATGCTTTCCTATGGGCGGTTTGAATGCGAGCACGGCTCTTATTTATTTATAAAATATTTTATCAGGAAAGATACATTGAGATTTCTCTCATTTTCAAGTATGTCCTGAGTCCACAAATCATTGCATTGTTACATTATGGTACAATAAAATACAAAAACAATATTAATACACAATAAATACAAAATTTAACATAGAACAGGTAGGAAATATATAATCAACCATTACAGGTGCATTCTGTATTGAGGTATGTAGAGAGGGATCTCTTAAAGGACTTTAGGCTTAGGGAAGATTTTAAATTGAGCGGGAGGTCAGTCCATAATTGTGGTGCTCTGTAGGAGAAGGAGGATCGGGCCGCTTTCTTTTTGTATTGAGGTAGGCTAAATAAAGTGTTGGTACTGGATCGAAGGTTATAGGAAGTGGGAACAGCTGGGGAAAGCATTTTGTTCAGGTAGGGTGGAAGTTTCCCAGAAAAGCTCTTAAACACAAGGCTGGAAAGATGGACTCCAGCGCCAGCCAGTTTAGTTCTTTAAGCAGGTCACAATGGTGAGTCCTGTAATTACATTGTATAACTCGTTCTACCGATTTGTGCTACAATGTGTTGAGTTTATTAATGTGGGATTGCGATGCAGATGCATATACTACACCCCCATAATCAATGATTGGCATCAGCATTTGCTGTACAATCTTTTCCTTTACTGTAGGGCTTAGGCAGGATTTGTTTCTGTACAGGGCACCTAGTTTTGGATAAAGTTTAAATGCAAGCTTTTCTGTGTGCAGGCCAAAAGATAGATTGGGGTCTAACATCATACCCAAGTATTTGAAAGAGTGGACTGCGGTCAGTGTGCCATTTGAATTTGTTTTGATTGATAGGTGGGAATTGTGTAATTTGTGTAATTTAGGTACTGTTCCAAAGATCATTGTGACAGTTTTGTCAGTTTTTTTTTTTTGCGATCCACTTTTCTACCTCTGTAAACTGGTCTTGGAGCACATTCTCAAGCTGCGGTAGATTGGATTTGCTTGCATAGATTACTGTGTCATCTGCGTACATGTGTACATTTGAGGATTTGCAGACATTAGGCAGATCATTTATAAATAATGTAAATAGTAGGGGGCCGAGAATGGAACCATAGGCAACACCACACGTGACTGGGATAGGGAGGGAGTCGCGGTCAGAAATGGACACATATTGCGGGCGATCCGATACATACAATCGAAACCAGGTTAGCAAACGATCACCAATACCTGAGTTTTTGAGTTTGTGCAGTAGAATGTCGTGGTCTACTTTGTCAAATGCCTTTGCAAAATCAAGGAAAATAGCTCCAGTTAGGTCTCATTGTTCCATGCCAGTTTGGATGTCATTGCAAACTTTTAAGAGGGCAGTTGTAGTGGAGTGATTCTGGCGAAAGCCCGACTGATCAGGGGTCAGATAGTTTGATTGTTGGTAGTACTCACTCGGATCTGACGTCGGCATGGGTGGAGAGTTCCCCAGCACAGAGGGAGCCTGGTGCTGGAGAAAAGTAAGTGGCTGAAGGGGTTTTAACCCAGGGGGGGCTCCGAGGGTGGGTGGGACCTAGTAGTGCCAGGAAAACAAGTTTGTTTTCCTGGCACTATAGCGCTTCTTTAAAAACTGAAGTGGAAATATCACATTTCTAAATCTTAGTGACATTTGAAAAGTTGGAGAATAAGTGGTTTCTTTTAAGTACTCGAATACAAATGATTCCCATTACACTAAATTCCTTGCTACTAGCAGTAATGTGTTTTGTTTTTTTTTGCTCGTAGCAATGCTTTTCAAAAATGTGTTTCCTTAGTCACCATTTAACTGGCAAAAATGTCTGGTTAGCTTCCTTTACGTTTTTGTACTTATTTGTAAAGGAGCACCTCAAGTACCAAAACCACTATAGCCAGTTTTAGTATGGTTTAACAACTTAAATAGTAAGTTACGGTTGGTGCCAGTCTTTGCCATAAAAATTATATATATTTTTTAAATCAAGATTTCTCTGTCAAATTAAGCTTGGCAAAATAAGGACCATGCTCACTGGCTGAGAGCACTCTGTCAATGCTCTCAGCCAATGAGAACAGACCTGCAGGAGAAGAACGGATGCAAGGCATGTGGCCACATGAACCTGGTGGGACCAAAGTAAGTTGACAAACTGTATTAAGACACTACTAACACCATAACTACAAAAAACTGTAATTGTTAGGATTCTTGGAGTGTTTTTATAAATGAATGTGACTCATTCAAATATGTTTACAACTCAATTTATAACCCCTGTTTATGTTAAACAGATTATTTTAGAATAAAACAAAAAGCATTTTTCACTCAAATATTGCACATAAAGTTAAAAAAAACAGGACATTTATTTTATTGAATATTACATAACATGAAATGCATATGAAAATACAACATGAAATGCGGTGAAAAAAAATTGAAAATACAGTAAACATTGTGAAATAGGAGTCTATGTAGTGTTTTAACAAAAATAAAATCCAACATATCTATTTACAAACAAATAGTAATGCTTAAAAGGACACTTTCATGGAGTTTAACTCTGCTATGCATGAGGAAGACCAGCATCATGAAAATCCCCATAGGAAAGCATGGAGTCCATACTTTCCTATGGAAAAGGCCTAAAGCGTGCAGCACTTGTACATTAGGTCCCCCCCATCGCTGACGGAGTAGAAGACAGATCCAGCACTGAGGGACCTCGGGGCTGGAATCAAATAAGTGAAAAAAGTTTTTATGTGTGAGAGGGTTGTATTTTATATTTTGTATTCATAACACTATAGTGTTCCGTTAATATCAATAAGTCATCCGGTGTCAGAGAGCTGAACAGGAGAGGGCTGGATGGGGGGGGGGGAGGTAAATGCCAGTTGATGGCTTAACTAATGGGCAGATACCTGCGGCACTACACATGGCCATAAGACAGTCAGTTCAATAGATAAACTTTCCAGCTGTGGGTTTTTGAAGAAATACAGGGGTAATATTGTGAGGGATCAGTGCAGACTAATGTCAGGTAAAGTGACGGAGATCACTATTATTTCACCATTTGCACACCGAGCATTGACACATAGGCGTATGGATACCAGCCCATCCCTGTGTAATGCATTGCAAAACAGGCAGTTAGAAAAAACATAACTCTGGCACTGAATTAGTGTAGGGGGGAAAAAAAAAGCAAACAAATCAGAACTTATATCCATTGATATTTGTAGCTATTTCTCTTCTTTGCACAATACTGTATTACAGCAGTCATTAAACCTTAAGACATGATACGGAAAGTGTTACTTTGTCATCTATAATCTTATATACAAATTTAAATAACTTTTATAACAGTGCTGTGTGTTCTGTTCACAACAGTGGCAGTTTTCAAGCAATCCAGTGTTTTTGACTGTTCTCTCCTATTCCATTCGGGCAAACAACAAATAGTTTACGTACAACATTGTGATAAATACACTGGTCTATATTCCCTTGGGGTCTACAGCAAGTGTATGCACTTTTATGCAGAGCTTATGGTGTAGATACTGGTTGTAGGCAGCTTAGTGTAGTGCTCTTTAAATCTGTCCACAGGACAAGAATATAGGAATATTGTCACTTGTCCCAAGGTGACAGCCCTAACCTAGTTCATCTGTGTTAAAACTATGGATATAATAAATTCTGGCCCGTTTGTGGGACCTAAGGATAAGTTTGGCGAACACTTGTACAGAAATGAAAATGCAGACAAAAGACACGATAATCTAAACAATCTTAGATTATTATTTTTATGTTAAACTGGGAGAAAACAGCTGATACGCAAAACAATCTTAACAAACAACACTCTACCCTCGTCTCATTCTTTCATTAAATAAAGAAATAAAGACAAGCCAAAAAATGACAACTAATTCTGGGAACTCATATGGTTTCTAGGAAAAATATTGTGTATTGTACACGTGGACACAAAGAAATGCAGACTGTTTTTCATAAATGAAAAAATAATCAGAAGCAGTTACTTTACTTTATTGAATGGAAGCCCTTCATGGCTTACATTCTCTCCCTAGGGAGTTTTGTGTTATATTTTCTCACCAAGAATAAGAAGCAGCCAGCAAATCAGTGTGAGCAGATCCTTAAAGCAATATCTGCTCTAATAATGGCTGCTGTATGAATCTCAAGCCAATGGTTACACAGCCAGCTTTTATAGGCAACTACAAACTGTCCAATTAAAACAGATAGGAAGATCAGTACTGGCAGACATCACTAGCAAAATGCAGAACACAGTCTGTTAAAAGAAAATGAATTTTCCAACTAACCTTGGACAATCCATGGATCATGTAGATCAGGGATGGGGAACCTTCGGCCCTCAAGATGTTTTGGACTACATCTCCCATAATGCTCTTACAGCCATAATGCTGGCAAAACATCAAGGGAGATGTAGTCCAAACATCTGGAGGGCCAAAGGTTCCCCACCCCTGATGTAGATCAACAGCAGCTGAATAACTACCAGCTATTTATTATTCATAACCGCAGTAAACAAAGCGGCAAACAGTATCCTTGTAAATTATGCAGAGCTCAAAGTGTGGATCTGCAGCCCAGAACCCTCTGAGAAGTAACATCAAAGACAAAATTTTTGAATAAAAGATTACATGTATTCCAGCCTTAGCATGTATTATTTTGTGATGCATGCATAGAAGTAAAGAGCGGTTTTCAATGCATGTCCTGGCTTAGCCTTGCTTTGGGGGGGGGGGAAGGGGGTCAATAAGGCCCAATTTTGGCCAGAAGTACAGCCTGCCCAATTAAAAACCAGACAATCAAGAGCTAACACGTGTTCATGCACTTTTCCGCTCATAAATGCTGGTGCCGATGATGGATGCCCCTACAGAGCAAGTATAAGGCAGGAGATGCACTAAAAAGGATAGATACTAATTACAAAATACACACACGATATACTATATATTACAGATCGTATAATTTAATACTACTTTGCTATAACAAAGAAAATACTGGACTTGTTTGGAAACAACTGCATAGTAAAGTTTTATTTCCCTAGATTTAATAATAAAAAAATATTACAAAAATAAAACATCTGCGGCATAATGCAAAATTATAATATCTAATCTGTTATCACAACACAAAATTGCAGAGTAATTGCATTTACTACAACTTTTTGACCATTAGTACTAATTAAAAAGATAAGTGCAAATTAGAGTTCATCATAATTTTACAAAATTAAAAAAAAAAAAAATTTAAATTGCCAAAAAGCTGTAACTTATTTATAAAGTCATCATCTACAGATCACAGTGCAAACAAGCAGAAATAAAGTAATATTTTGGCATAAAGTGGCCCACTTTTGTAAGAAAAAAAAAAAATGCAATATGTGTTTAATACAATGTCAATATACACACGTCATAGGTGGAGCTGCTACTTAAGGCACCTGTAGACCATACAAAGAAACAAAGTTCCCTTTGGAAGAGCACACTGCCACCCAAAAATGGGTGGACCAAATGAAGAGGTGTAGCCCTGTCTTTAACATGGTATGTGTGTCCTACAATTAGGCAGCAGCAATCGGGAGTATAATGCCATTCTACCACCAGGAGAAAACATCATTCTATCTGAGCCCTACTGCCAAATCCAAAGTCCCTTTAATTTAAGAACAGAGTATGTGTAACAGGTTTATATATAAAGGTTACAAAAACAAATTACTGCAAACATGAACATGTTTGTTCCATTACATGGAAGTGAATAATTGAATCCACTGCTTTCTTTAGAATACATAGCAATTGATTTGTTTTGTTACACAAGTCTATCCACTTACAAAGAAAACAAATGTTTTAGTTAAAGTACAAAACATATGGGAAAGTCTTCATGGTATAGCAGTGTGGCCTACTATACAGGTTCTCTCTAGCAGAAACACATTAACTAAACTGACAGCTCGTTACTGTATGTAACCAATGCAAAACTGAATAGGCAATGAAGTGTAATTCAAGCCAACTTTTTTTTTTTAAATGTGTTTATCAAATGCAGATTGTCAGACAGTGAATAATCATTACACACATACAGAGCATTTTCGTTAATAAGGCTGTCCCAGAAAAATTAAATTGAGAGACGCATGTCCTCACCGCTATAGAGGCTGTAACATTTCCTATGTACGGGTATGGTCAAGCCAGGATTTTAGGTTAGTTTGCTGTAGGGTGCAGACTTGACATACAGAAGTCACAGACTAAAGTTAGGAGATAAGTATTAAGTAAATACATTCATGACATATGTGGGACACCCATTGAAGGCATAATAATAGTTGGAATCACAAAGTATCAGGCGGTGGCTATATTCGTGCATGCTGAGATACAGGGAAGAGAGACCAATAGATGTATTAATGGACTGCAGCAGTCTGTGAACGGAAATGGGAGGAGGGAAAGTTTTTGTGTAGCCATTTGTCCTGCCATAGAACAGTCAAAATATAATTTAAAATGTCTCAATTGCCTATGCAATGATTCACATAAAAAGGGATGTAACATGATCATCATCTTTACTAGACTTGGGGAAAGAAAAATGCTGTACAACATTATGTGAAGACCTTTGATTTGATTTTCCAATGTCTTAATTAAGAAGTGCCTTTAGTGGATGTCAGTCTAACCGCAATTAGAGGTGTATATTTTTCAACAAATTTTTAAAACAATACTTTACATTTTATAATTAAAGGTACAGCATCTATGTGTAACTGAACATTATAAAGGATATTCACTGCAGCCACACATGTAGTTATTCAAGCATTGCAACACTTCTTTATTTCCATAAAGTGTCACCATCGGTCTGTTTAACACAACAGATTTTAAATTTTAAAATGATACATTCACTCAGTCCTTCAACTACACACAGGTAACAGAATTCCAGAATTATTGTGACCATTTAAGTCACTCAGACAGTTACTCGTGTGCTACAAAATGACAAACATTTAGTCTACCATGCTCCAAACTAGCTGCACAGCATGCTGGGAGATATGTTGCAAGTGTGAAACCTTATTGTATATAGGACACACAATAGAACTGCATTTTAGGTTATTTAGCTATTTGATTGGTTTCCATAGTGTGTAACATGGAGAGAACACATTTAAACAAACCGTTCAGAAGCACATGCGAGCTTTTCTTGAGTATGTGACAGCCATTTACAATCAATGACTTGTAGAACAACACCATAATGAATATGGGTTAAGGTAACTATACCTGAAGAGAAAGAAAATATAATTTTCATAACAGAATAATTTGTTGTATCAATATGCATAATTTTGTAAATAATTTACATTCTCCATTTGGAAACTGTTATTCATTGTAGTGTTTCAGGTTTTACACTAGCTTCATATAAAGATATTTTACAATATAAGATACAATTACTGTATGTGGAGGCTCTGTGAATTTCCTAGCATCCTTTGTAGAAGACAATACTACATATAACATGGACCACACAGCGTCATTCAAGAACAATACTCATTTCAAAGAGTGAAAGCTTTCTCCATTGACCAGCTTGTTAGAACTTTACCCATAAACTACAACCACATCCTGGCTGGAAATCTACAAAGTAGGTAAAATAGATTATAATCATGCTTATGTACAAATTTCAGACTACTATGTACTTAGCTGCCAGATAACCATATAAAAAGTATAGACCCATTAGTTTAAAGTAGATTTATGTTCCATCCTAAAAATGAGGACTGTTCATAGCCACAAAGGTCTATAGGAAAAAAAATAAAATTAGATGTTAGATTTCTATACCACATTTTTGGTAGATATACATCTCATCTGCTGTAAAACCACATGAGCAACAAAACACGTGACATTACACACATGACGGGATGTCATGATTAACACATTTTAGCTTACCAAAATCAAGTTTTAGTTAAAGACAACTTTAAAAAAATACTGCTCAAAAAAGGACAAATTAAACATTACCGTCATAACCATGACAAATCTTTTGTTACCCCGGGATGCTCCTAAATTAAAACCTCAATTATTTTTAATATAATAATCTTTTCATCAAATCGTGAAAGAAAACAGATTTATTTTTTCATTTAGTATATGTAAAAATTAGAAAAACCTCATCCATACATTTAGTATATGGCAGGTTCACTCAGCCATACACATGCACCTTCAGTCGGACAATGTTTGTAGTGGACAGATAGTCTCTATGGTCTTAGTAAACTCAGTTGCGATGCCTGAAAAGCATAAGGAGCAAATCCTAGCAATTATTTCCCCACACATCTTTTTCTGACCGCTCCGATACTGATCTTTGTCAAACTGGTGATGTCATTGCACTGTGCAGGGAGTAAAGCAGGAATGACCATAGAAACTAACTGCTGGTTTCCAAAAACTGTCTGATCAAAGGTATAAATGTATGAAGTGTCAATTGTCCATGAATTAAAGATCAAATAAAATTATTAGAGCCCTGCAGTGTTCGCCCTCCGTGCATGTACTCAATTAAATGGCGACACATATCCTGCAAAATGTAACAAATCTAAATTACCATAATACAAAAACATTTTATATATATATATATATAAATATATATATATATAAAATTTATTTTTTGGGTGCTGCACAGATCCCTCTTCCTCCAGAAAATGAATGAATGAATGTGATCACAGGCAAAAGGGAGACGGATTTCTGTAAAAAGGACGGAAGTCCTGCACAAAAAAAAGGCAGGGAGCGTGTGGAGCTAAACATTCCTCCCTCAGGCAAGTTAAGAGAACTGTGATCAGGAATTCAGCTGTTACACCACTAGAGGTATCATGTATGTAGGTTTTCTGATCAGACTGACCTCCCTGTTTCAGCTTACAGGGAGGATAAGAAATCAAACTACTGAGAAAAATACAAAAATACCCTGATGAGCAAACCGTATTGCCCATTTGATTAAAAAAAACAAAAACATAAAAAGAAATATTACAAAACCAAAAAGACCACATGAATGCAAAGTCTAAAACTCATAGATTAAAAAAAAAAGTGGAATTTTGTGTGACAAAAAAAACAAAACAAACCATACAAAAACAATAAAGTGCATATTTTACACAAACTGTTGCTAAATAAAGAAAATATATAGTCTCTTCAAAAACTGGCCACTGAACATTACGAAGTGCATTACCAAAAACGAAATGCAACAAATTAGTGAGTATTGGTGCTGCCCCCTCTTAAAATTATTTTTAAAAGAAAGAAGAATATCTTATAGGGAGTTTAGGGGCATATAAGCAAAAAAAAAAAAAAAAAAGTACACCCTGCCCAAAAAATTTAAATCAGTAGGTGGCACTGATCTTTTTGCTACTTTAAAAGAATATCTCATACAAAGTGTCTATATCCCATCACAAGTGATCCACTTGTTTTTTGGGACACAAAAATGGAAGGAAAAAATAAAATAAAACATTTCACTAAAAGTGGGCAAACTACTCCAAATACATAGTTCCTTCCTTCTACGTTATATTGTGTAACAAGTACAGAGGCTTGTTTGCTTCACTGTTTCCAGATTCAGTCATCTTGCTTGTTCTGAAACAGAGAACTAATAGACCACCCAACGTGAGTAGGTTTAAGGGAGTCTTTATCATCCACAGGAGGGATGAGAAAATGTCTTGAGTTAACAGAGCACGGACTTCCAAACGAAGCATTATCAATGTTACTTTCCAAAGATGATGGAGAACCTGGAGACTCCACAGCCCAGGTTTGGGGGTTCCCCTGAGGTCTGTATCCTGATGCTTCTGCCAAGGTATCCTCTGCAGGTACACAGCTGTCCATATTCACAGTATTAATAGCAAGATGCATTTGTGGCTTGTAACCAGCAGTGTCCAAATCATTTTCAAGTTCTTCTTCTGAATTTCCCTGTGGTTGATACATGGACTGCACGTCAATATAGACAACCTGGGAGGAAACCCCAGAATGGTCCAGTTCTGCATTAGATGTATCCTCATTAGTTGCAGGTGGGCAGTAAGAAACAACCACATGATTATCAGTTGTTTCCAATCCATCCTCTGGAAGCTTTATAAGATAATCAGTGATTGGAGAATTTAGTTCAGTATCCAGGACTTTAGGGATGGTTTGCACAACTTCCACATTGTTTGGGGTGCATGGGTTCATCTCCAATACTTTGACATTTTTGTTGCCCTTGAATGGTTAAAAATAAAAAGCACATTAAGATATAGGTCGGTTAGGAGAATGGTGAAATTTGTTTACACAAGTCTAGAATTTTTTTGACCAATATGAGCAACAAGATCGCATAAGAAAAATACTAAAACAAAAAACTATCTGGAGCAGTTTTCAGAATATTATACAAGTATTTACAAAACAATCCTTTGTGTAAAAAAATAAAAATAAAATTAAAAAAAAGCGTAAAATATAATGCATATGTCACTGTGCAATATAATAGATGTGCATACCTTTGTGGATTAAACAAATTAACAGGCTGCCTAACAGTAACCTAGCCTGATGACTGGGAAATCTTCTTTATTACATATTTAAGGATGTGGCAGATCATTATGTTTAGATAACCGTCAGGAGAAAGGTTGTATAGGTAAAGGGAGTGTGTGTGAATGTATAGAAATACAGCCCTTACATTGGCTTTCTGTATCCTATAGGAGTCAATTCAAGGTACTAATCCACACCTATAAAGCACTGACCAATTCTAGCCCCTCCTATATCTCCTTACTGATCTGAGGGTATGCCACTTCTCGGTCTCTCCGCTCTGCCCATGACCTTCTCCTGTCCACTGCTCGCACCTGTACAGCCAACTCATGCTTGCAGGACTTCTCACGGGTGGCTCCTTTCCTTGGGAATAGCCTGCCTACCACCATCAAGCTCTCACCTAGTCTTCAATCATTTAAAAAGTGCCTCAGAACTAGTGATGTCCCGAACAGTTCACCACGAACAGTTCGCCACGGACTCATCATTGAGTAAACTTTGACCCTGTACCTCACAGTCAGCAGACACATTCCAGCCAATCACCAGCAGACCCTCCCTCCCAGACCTTCCCACCTCCTGAACAGCTCACTAAGAATGCAGCTTCACAATGAATGTAAAATGGATGCTGTCCAGGAGGTGGGAGGGTCTGCTGCTGATTGGCTGGAATGTGTCTGCTGACTGTGAGGTACAGGGTGAAAGTTTACTCAATGATGAGTCCGCGGCGAACCGTTCGGCGAACCGTTCGGGACATCACTACTCAGAACCCATCTCTTTCGAAAAGCTTATGGCCTCCCAGCGTAACCTCTACCTCACATACCTGTCCCAGCACTCTATTCTCTCCTCCAGCTCTGATTGACTTCCTTTTGTTTAATTGCTACCTCCTGTCCTGTTGGGTTTTACACCCCAGCTCTTATAGACTGTAAGCTGGTTTGAGCAGGGCCCTCTTTAACCTATTGTTTCTGTACGTTTTTATAATGGTCTCATTTATTGTTAAATCTCCCCCTTTGATAATATTGTAAAGCGCTACGGAATATGCTGGTGCAATATAAATACCAGTAATAATAATAAATATGGGATCGATTCAGGTGCAGTGTAGTTGAAGAACGTTGTAACGGTCTTCAATTAACTTTTTAGTTTATTGATGCTCAGCACATAGAACAGAGGAAGGCATGGCAACATGCAGTATTGCATGCATTGCTGTATTTTAACTTACATTTCTTGCCATCTGTAATATCCGCCTATTTTCACTTTTTATTGGCAACGCTTATGGAAAAACATGCTGCAATACTGTATTATATCAGTGCCCCACAAGGAAGTTAAATACCATGTTTTTATACAGTATTTTACCCTAGATAAAAGGGGCTGTATTGCTGCCTAACATAAGCAATACAAGGCATACTATAGTCTCTAAGGATGCTAAATAGTATAAAACATTGAATGTTATATAGCTGTTCTGTATGAGTAAATATACCATGTGATTTGTAGATATGACATGATACAATCGTAGATGTGGCGAGAGATGGTCATATGTAATGAGAGATGTTACCGCTATAGGAAATGGCACGTATCCAGTCTCAGTAATATTTTAATTTAGGAAGGGGAGTGGAGTTAATTTGGTAGCTTGTCGGGTGGAAGTTAACCTATAAACCTGGCTCTGTGCATTATATTTTATATCAACACATAATACAGGATGGATTATTACCTCAGTGGCATTCTTCTGAAACTGCAAAGCTTTACTATTTTCTGGATTTGGTATGTCTGGGTAAAATGTCTCCTTAATCCTTAAAAGTGAAGGGGAAAAGAAGTTAATTGACAAAATTAATGCACTGAAAAAAAAAAAAAAAAGATGAAAAAATGAACTTGATTATCTCTTTAAATTATCAGACTGCCACATAAAAAGTTACCAAATGGTCTTCAAACAGTTCTTCATTAAAATGAAAACTCTCAGTGAATTTTAAATTTAATTTAGACAAACTAAAAGCATAGCTGGCTCGGAGAATGTTTCCTGCATTGGACACAAATTGTTGATGCTCTAGATAAGGCAATATATAGGAGCTTTTCAAATCTTAACATGTAAGGATTGATATATGTCACAATAAGCGTAAAGCTTTTTTTTATTTTTTTTTATCTTGTATGCAGTTTTATAGACTTTACAAGTTTATTGGAGTTTTGCTACAACTGACAATTTTCTACCTCAGAAAGCCAGAAACATTTACCATCTTATTAACATCATGCACAGCAGTATTTAATAAATAATAAAATAAAAAAATAACAAAATCAGCACAACTAACTATAACCTAAATCAGGACTTGAAAAAAATTTGCTTTGAATCTAGAAGCCCGCTAAAAAAAGTTAGGAGCCAGATTTTAAAATACAATTCTTAAAGGGTAACTCTAGTCACCAGGACCACTACAGCTTAATGTAGTGGTTCTGGTGTCTATAAGCCAGTCCATGCAGACTTTTCAATGTAAACACTGCCTTTTCAGGGAAAAGGCAGTGTTTACATTGCCTCCCAGTGACTGTCACTTAGAGGGTCATTAGAGGTGCTTCCTGTGTCAGTGCTGCACAGTGTGCAGCACCAACATTTAGCATCTCCATGCTCTGCATTGAGGCGCTGAACGCTCCCCAAATAGATGGATTGAATGAATGCATCTCTATGAGGAGATGTATTGGTGCAGCGATTTGCAGCCAAAACATTGGATTGGCTGAGATAATCAAGCTTGATAATCTCAGCCACAGAAGCAGGGCCAGTCGAGGGGAGACCGGCACAGTGTGGGGAAAAATAGGGTGAGTAAAAACACCATTCCTTTGTGAACAGAAGGGGTCTGGTCGCCTAAACACACACCATGACAGACAGACGTACAATGACAGACGCACAATGACAGACATACACATACTCACCCCATGACAGACATACACGCCACACATGGCGACCTGGTGCCTGGGATTTGTTGAGCCCTTACCTAAACCAACCTACACATTAAACACAGAGGTGCATAGATTGTTCCTCCCTTTAACTTGTTAATTCCTGTGATTAGCTTTGAACTTTAATTTGAAGAAAAGATCGTGCACCTTGAAAGGAGCCCGATCTGGTTTAAATTAAGCCACTAGCTTGATATGTTAAACCTTTTCACTATTCAATGCCACAAGAAAAGTCACATTAAAACTGCAACAGGCATGTTTGACTAATCATTGATTGAGATCACATTTTACATTTTTATCTAAAATCTCACCCATCATACTACTCAATATGCAAAGAATCTTACCATTCTCTTTTTTGATAACATATAGTACTTGTCAATATACTCAGTAGAACAGCAATCACAATTGGAATAAGAATGGCAAGAATCAGACCCATAGCTGCAAAAAAAAATTTAAAAAAATTATAGCATCATTTATTGAGATATCAAATCCTTGGTGTCAGATTGTGCATTCTAAACTGGTTTTATATGATACCCAGTATGTGTTAGCCTTGCTCTACATCATAGGACATAACTCTCAACAAGAAGGCATCTTCCAATGTTTACACCTTTTCATAGCATTTGGGGAATGTATGTGCACATGGCTCTCTTTAAAAATCTTAGTAATTGTAAACATAAAGAAAATACAACAGAAGAATAACATAAAAAGTGAACTATTACACACTGTGTAGCATAATCATCAATTTATCTTGGCTACCCATTGTACAGCGCTACGGAACTTGTTGGCGATTTATAAATTATAATAATAGAGGTATAAAGTGTGGATTATTAAAATACAGTTTATTTTGATGGAACCAGGGCATGTTTTAAGCAGTGTATCTGTATATTCGACAGGCAAACAAGTGAAGGTCTGTTCATGTAAACAGACCACCTATGACTAGAGGAATGGAAAAGGATTGGTGGCTGTGTGAAAATTACTTTATTAGAGTCCCTAGTTAAGAGCCAGTGACTTCTAAATTAAAGTGCAGAATATGAGGGATTTCTGTATGCAAATGATATTTGTTCGGAATGTCATCAAAACCTCATGTGTGACACTAAGTATTTAAAAACATTACCTTCTAGTGCATATTGAATACACCTAAGCCTAAGTTATTCATGGTCTATTCAGAACCTTTTGCTCTAGTAGAAGTAGACTGTTATGCTGATCACTTTAGTTCATCTATATAGATCTGGATATAGGTAGTAAGAGAAAACGGAAAACTTACCATTGTCATTGGTCACTACATTTAATAACTTCATCGGTCCTTGCCCGCCCCTGGTATAGGCCACAAACCCCAGGTAATAACTTGTTCCACCCTGAAGACCTCCTATTGTCATGTTTGTTTGCGTTGGGTCAGTGACATTTTTTATCTCTTTCTTCTCCGCATGTAAAACTTCAAAACAAACACAAAAAGCAATTAGCAAACATATAAAAGTGTTTCAATTAAAAGTTCTGCCTGAAATTCACACTGATCTTATTAATAAACCATGAAAACATGGCTCTAAAATGAAATCCTCAAGGGTGGTTATTCTCATCAAATACGGTTTTTATTTAGTTTAAAACATTATATATATATATAATAAGAAGAAATAATACATTAAGAAAACAAGAAGAAAATATAGGGTGGTTATTCTTGTAGAGATTTAGGGATTTCAAAAATTAACAAATGATCAAACTATGAAAAACAATGTCAACGTGTCAAACTTTTTGCCTGAAGACAAGTATAAAGTAATCAATCTAATTTAAAAGGAGAACAGTCAAAAATGTATATAACCTATAACTCGCATTTGCTATTTATTTATTTTTAAATGCATTTGGAAGATGTACTATTTGACATGACAATCCAGTTCAGTCCTGGCACTGCCAAGGCACATATTGTGTTAGAGGAAGATAAAGAGAAAAAGTGTTTTTCTCTCCTCCTCTCTGCTGACTGACAGGTGCAAAGGACAGCACTTCTAAAAACCATTTACAGAATAGGAAAGAAAAGAATGTTGGCAAGAATATCATTTTCCATTAGCCTTCATCTTAATATGCGAATGCTAGTAATTGAGAGAAAGATTTGCACAATAGAAAATCTTTAAATCACGAGATGGATCTATTGTTATTTTCAGCAGTTGCAGTCATTTGACATACAGAATTGGTTAAGCAAGCCGTCCTCTAATTTCACGCATCTTATTTCAATAAGCAGCAGAATTACTGACATTCAATTTGAGATACTAACACAAATATATTAGAAAACGGAGATAATATTGTGCCAGTTATTAAAGTGATTTAAGTATTTTCATTATACAACACTTTACAAACTGAAAAGACAGATCTGAAAGAAAGACAATGCAGCTACAAAGATCTTTCCAAGTAATGTCATATGATCAGTACTGATTATATCAAATGTACTGGGGCCTCTTTCTGTTCCTACATTATGTTTTGTTAACTTCTGCAGCACTGAACAGTTTTGAACAAATTTTGAACAATGTGTTTAAAGGGACACTATAGGCAACCAGATCACTTCAGCTCATTGAAGTGGTCTGGGTGCAGAATCCCTATTGCACTTAGTACTGCAATGTAAAACATTGCATTTCCAGAGAAACTGCAATGTTTACATTGCAGCACTACGTCTGCATCCAGTGCCTGTCTCGCTTCTTGCATCCGAACGTACCTTTGGTCCGGTATCGGATGCTGGATGTCCTCACACTCTACATGAGGACATCCATTGTCAGATTTTTCCCCAAAGGAAAGCATTGATTTAATGCTTTCCTAAGGTTAGGCCTAACGCACGCGTGTGCATTAGCGCACTCTCAATGTGGGATTTCGGTGGAGGCCAATCATCGCCGCTGGGATAAGGTAAGTAAATAAAGCCCTTTATTCACCCTGGTGGGGTGTCGTGATGGAGGGGGGAGGCAAAGGGAGCTATAGTGCCAGGAATACAGCTTTGTAGTCCTCGCACTTATAGTATCCCTTTAACCATTTGCAAAATGCAGACAACTACATTTATTATGTTGAACCTTATCTGCTCCTTAAACGTAGAGTTCCAAGTATGATGCCCTAACCTGAAAACAAGAAACATTTTAAAATCTAGAATATATATATATATACACACAATATATACATATACATACACACATTTTGTTTTATACCTAGCTAGCATAGACTCACAAAATGAAATAAATTTACTACAACATAGACTGGTTTCATGCTATCTTTATATCACAATATAAATGAAATATTTGAGAACAAGTACACTCGCGTGCAAAATAAATATTATGAATGAGGATATTGAACAATAAAATCAGGTTTACCCAAGTCTTTGGCGTCAGCATGAGGCGTATCTTGTTCCTGCTTAACAACATAAACAACATATCCCTGTAGGAAGCCTCTGAGTTCTTTGTCTGGAATGGTATCCCATTTTATATGCACAGACTCTGAAGACGTTCTTTCTACAGTAAAATTTGGTGCTACTACTGGAGCTGGTGAATATAAAAAAAAAGCCACAGATTTTAGTGTAATTGCAGGCATTACTGGTTACTGAACCATTAGAACGAACAAGTGTGAAACGATAGAAACAACATATTACACAGATAGCCTTAACAATGCAAAGGAAGTAACTAAATGGATTTTATAAACATACAAGAAAATTGCAATTTGCACAACACAACAGACTGTTTTCCTAAAACTGCATGTTTACCCACAAAGGAACATGTTGCATAATTAAATAGAAAGAATTCTTGTGCAGTGCTTACCCCAATAAACTTTAAGGGAGCCCTCTGCTGAGCATGTGTAAGATTCTACTGATTGAGGTAAAGGCTACTCTAACATATATAACAAATGTCATAGCAAGCTTACAGTATGCCTTGTACCCTCTGTGACAGTGTAAAAGTGCTGTCAAGAAGATAGAAGGAAGCAGAATATGTTGGGAGGTGAAAAATAGATTTTAGAGATTTTCTAGCATTCCAACATGACCTATTTTGCAGTAGATACTTCTTGTGTATATCTTTAAGAGACATATGCTGAACCTGGAGCAGGTCCATAAAAATAATAAAATTGTGATAGTTTGTGCATTGTTAACAGTAAAATATTAGCGGCAACAAATTATATGCCAACAAAAGCCTGTGTATTTTAAAGATCATAAAAAGCATTTTAGCACAGCTTGAAATTTCCAGTCCTACAACTACTAGCCATGCCTTAAAAGTTACTTGTCACTTCAAGTCAGAAGGGTCTGTGGCAAAATGTTAATTTTTTAAATTTGGAGCCCTGACTAGTACATAATTTAAACTCGTAGGATTTTAGAGTTTTGCAACAATAAAAAAAAAAAATGCTATTATGTTATCTACACAGCTCTATAGGCAAATAAATAAATAAATAAATAGATTTTTCTCCAGCTAGTTCAGCCTTTGCCATCAAAAGCTGCCGACAAACAGCAAATATACTGCGACCTAGCTGAACATTTTCTTGCAAATACGCACTTTCAATATACCAGGACATGTCAAAAATAGATTTCACGTGGGAAAATTAAATCTGTGTGCAAAAACAATAATACAAAAAACATATGGGAAATAGAGCTTATTAAATTATTTACTTAATTCTTGCGTGTATCCAGTGACCATCTTCAAAAGCTTATATTTATTGTCTTTACAACTGAACACCGAAATATTATACCTTTCACCAGCGGGAAATTGACCTACAAATTAAATCAAATAGAATAGGATTAATGCACTGAAAAACAGACTTGCTTACCCATTCAGTTATTATTTAACCCCTTAAGGACTGAGCCAAATGTACACGTTGTGAACAAAACAAAACGTAAACAAAACCTGGCATTTGCGCTACATGCCTGTCCAACCGTAATTCACCTCTTTCATATTAAATGCACCCACTTTTATTATATATCATTTTATTCAGGGGAAACATGACTTTCATTTAATATCAAATATTTAGCTATGAAACATAATTTAATATGAAAAAAATGGGAGAAAATAAGACATTTTGTTATTTTATTTTTAGTTCTACATGACATTTTAACTGTCAATGTCATAATACTGTTTGCTTTTACTTCAATAAAATACACATATTTGTATTCAGCAAAGTCTCACGTGTAAGACAGTACCCCTATGTACAGGTTTGATGGTGTTTTGGGAAGTTAGAGGGTCAAATATAGCATGTTACATTTGAAATTGAAATTTGCCAGACTGGTTACGTTGCCTTTGAAACTGTATAGTAGCCCAGGAATGACATTTACACCCATAATGGCATACCATTTTCAATAGTAGACAACCCATGGTATTGCAAATGGGGTATGTCCAGTCTTTTTTAGTAGCCATTTGGTCACAAACATTGGCCAAAGTTAGCATTAGTATTTGTTTGTGTGTGAAAAATGCAAAAAACGCCAATTTTGGCCAGTATTTGTGACTAAGTGGCTACTAAAAAAGACTGGACATACCCCATTTGCAATACCTTGGGTTGTCTACTATTGCAAATGGTATGCCATTATAGGGGTAATTTAAATTTTTGGGCTACCATAGGGTCTCAAAGGCAACGTAACCAATCTGGCGAATTTTAATGTGAAAAAAATGAAACAAGCCTTATATTTGACGCTGTAACTTTTGAAAACACAACAAAACCTGTGTATGAGGGGTACTGTTGTACTCGGGAGACTTCGCTGAACACAAATATTTGTGTTTCAAAACAGTAAAAAGTATCACAGCAATATTATCGTCCGTGTAAGTGCTGTTTGTGTGTGAAAAATGCAAAAAAACTTTACTTTTACTGGCGATATTGTTGTAATACATTTCACTGTTTTGAAACACTAATATTTGTGTTCAGCGAAGTCTCCCGATTAAAACAGTACCCCCCCACCTCCCCCATGTACAGGTTTTATGGTGTAATGGAATGTTATAGGGTTAAATATGGTGCTAGCAAATTAAATTCCCTATACTTTCGGCACGGGTTGACAGGCAGGTCCCGCTAATTGTAATTAATTAAAATACCTAATTATGTAAAAATATTACATATATATATATATATATACACACACACACACACACACACACATATATGTAGAATTAATATATATACATATATATATACGTATATATTTATAGATATATATTATTTCATTCTATGTGTATTCTGATATAAATATATATATATTAATATCACAATACAGTTAGAACGAAATAACATCTAGTGTATGAGTATGTATGTATATGTGGATATATATATATATATATATATATATACTTAGATCATATATATATATAAAATATATAAAAAAAATTTAACACTGATTTTAATTTTATTTATTTTCAGCCAGCAGGGGGACTAACTGTCATTACAGGCAGTCCCCCTGCTGGCAACGCAGCAGCCAGCTAACCCGGCCATGTGATTGTGAAGTCCTCACAAGGACCTCAATCTCACATGGCCGGGGGTGGCCGGAGGAGGCAGGATCCGCCGCGGGGGACTCCATGGGATCCCAGGTGAGTCTCCCCAACCGCGATCGCCGGCGACCGGGTAAGTAAAAAAAAAAATGGAGGGCGTACTATTACGCCCTGCGACGTTTAGAGCCGCTTAGAATAGGGCGTCATAATACGCCCTCTGGTTTTAAGGGGTTAAAACAAAAAATTAAAAAGTATGTTAAAAGCTGATCCAGAACATAAAAGTAAACAAACAAAAAAAACAAAGACAATCTAGACTAATTATTCATTTCCCATTTTAGGTCAATTTTAGGTCAAAATGGTTATTTTAATCATACAACCCCCTTCCACCCAGCCCCCACAAACAAAATAAAAAAGCAAAATCGCATTTATATAATTGACATTTGGTTATGGTTTCCAAATTTGCTGTCACTTCATTGCATAGTGAATAAATATCTAAGGCATTAAAAGGACACTCCACTGCCCAAATACAAAATAAATAATCACTGATAAGTAGATATACTCCAAATGAAAACTTGCCTGCAGTTACTTGTGCATTTATTTTCAGTGGGTATATTGAAAAACAGCATGCAAAACCTGCATTTCTCTTGTCTGCAGCCTTTGCAAGTCCTCCCCTTCTAATCCCACCCAGACCTTCTGTGGCTGTCCAATCAGACTTCCCAGTGTAGCTCAACGTAAAGTCTTTGCAAGGCAGGTGCTCTGGGCAATAGCTTGCCTTTTGAGTAAGTAACAGGACCAGTTGTCTGCAACCAGGTTAATTTATAAAAATGTGAATTTCTACTGAAATCGCACTATTTGCAAAATGAATAAAACAGGATACACTCTTCACACACAAAGCTTTTCAGCAAGCTAAAGCTATGTGGGGGTCCTTTTAACACATCAGACTATCACAAAGACGTGAAGGTTTATACCTTTAACAGTGAGATTTACCTGAGTGGATGAAAGCACTTGTGCTATGAGATGGCAGTTGATTCCACAGCAATGGGGAGGAAGAGTTTGATAAAGATCTCCATTCTATAACATGGCCACAAGAAACATTTGTATCCTGCAGCCACGTGATGTTAATGCCCTCTGAAGTACCAATTTGCTGCTCAACTTCAACGTGATCTGAATTGGAAACAAAGTGATAGTAAGTCTGGAGGCAAATTGAGCATTTGTAACAAGTAGTTTGTTTGCAAAGTCAGTGTCCCCAACTACCTCCCTACTTCACAGGACGAATATGTTGGGTTTATCATTCAGCGCACAATCAGAATTAACAACTTTACACAGAAGAATTAATATATTTGACACGTGCGCAGATATATATACATAATTAATAACTAGCCATTGTTATAGTGCTTTTTTCCTGTGAGACTCAGAGCACTTTATGGATATATAAAGCAGACATAAACCTTAAGTTAATGTACATATACACACACACACACACTTTCTTACTAGACAATATTATCCAGCAAATGGTATATTGCTGTATGTATTTGTACTGTATAGTGGGAACCTGTATATTTAAATTAATACAAAATCAAATTCCGACAAACATAAAAAAAATGGTACTTGGATTTATATTGTAGGCAACATAAAACAAATCTATTTCGATCTAAAGTGTAATACCAAAGCAATAAAAAGTAAGTTTATTTTCAAATTAAATGTGTTTGGGGTGTGGTGGGGGAACATGTATTGACAGGCACGGTTAGGTTTGGTTTTTCTTGTTTTCTTTAGATTTTAACTGAAAAGGAGGATGTCATTATCTAGTACTACTCTGCTTTATAATAACATTGATTCTCTCATACCCAGTGTATTGATTTTTATTTTTCCTGTCTGTCAAGCATTTTCAAATAAATAAGTACATTTATACCATGGTGTGGAATGACAGAATAAAACTACAACAGAGAAACACTATCTTAAGATGCATGTGGTGTGGACCTGGTTAACACTTAACATGTAATAAAGTATTTTTGTGTATTACTTTGTAATGTTTATATTTAAGATAGTACCTCTTTTCCTTCCAAACGTTTCACCTATTACAAAAGGTATAAATCCAATTCCCACCACCAAACAAATATTAAAATACCCAGCTTGTGTGAGAGTGAATATCAGCTTCCCAAAAAAAAATTTTTTTCCAGTACATTTTTAATGCAGATTTTAAATATTGGTCCCTGAGGAATTACCTTTTTGGGAGGAAACACGTAGGACCACACGTTTTTGCTCTTATTTATTTTTAAAAAGTCCCTTTTCTACCGTGTATCCCGCTGAAATTCCTATCTTTCCTCCTATCACATTATCATGCACTAAAAGGAGTGCTGGGAGGAGCTTTTGGCCCCCATTAGTTAGGGAGATGAACCCTGAATGCTTGTCTAACATCTTGTGAGTTTCCACTTCATCAAGTGCATACTTTTTAATTTACTGTTTTACACCATGGTATGTCTTATTGTAAGCTGGTTCCCCATATACTTGGTAGATTATATCCCGGTTTATATTTGCTTCAGATGGGGCAGACATTTTTAAGGTCTTAAACAAACAACATTGGAAGTGCTTCTTTTTTTTTTTTTTTGCCATCTTTAGGATCAACAACAAAGACAAATATGAAGAAGGTTGAACTTGATGTACTCATGTCTCTTTTCAGCCTTTATAACTATATAACTGTTCAGTCATTTTTAGTACAGGATTAGTCTCAAATGATGTTAGACAAACCTGTTCCTCAGTGACTGAATATTGCACCAGAATGAAATGATTTATTTCATTTATTTATGTTTGCTCCACTATTAATTAAATATGTGCCTCTGCAGACTGAAGCTTGGCTTCATTGGTCAAGTAGAATGGTTCTATCAATAGTTGTCTCATTAAGTCAATATCTTAAGCGCCTCCAAAACTATGTTGACATTTCCATTTGCAGTTTACACTCCTGGAGGTAGAAAAGTACATTTCAAAGTTACAGAACTTTACATGCTCTTCATAACAGGATTATTTCTTTACAAATGAGTTTACCATTTGGCAGCTGTACAGTTGTTATTCTTGATGGAGGAGATGATCCAGCTGAATTATTAGCTACCACACTAATTTCATAATCTTCTTTATCGTTGTTAAGAATTATCTGCTTATTACTGTGATTTGAAGACACACGGGCAGATTTCGGTTTTATGTTGCCTTTAAGAGGTTTCCAAGACACTTCATAGTAATGTACTGGTCCATTAGCTTCGGTGATAGAAAAGGGCTTTAAAGGAATAGAAACAACTATTAATATTAAATTGATGAAAACATTATAATTGTATAAAACTTCACTATATATATATATCCACTAAACTTAATGAAATAACAATGATAGTCGTGGGCAAATATGCGGGTAGGAAAAAGTGTCCTTAATATACACCACAAATATAATTTGTATGCTATTCAAGAAGGGTGTTAAGTTTGGAACAGAGATGGGAAAAAAAAATTACCTAAATTACACAAAAACTGAGAAAGGAAAATACAAAACAATAATTTAGAAGAAAATGCATAACATAGGTTGTTTCTAAAGCACTGTCTCAGTTCTAGTAATTCAATAGTGCTGCTAGTGCTGTCCTTAATGTATGAATATTAGTTACTAATATTATGTACTGTAGAAGTCGGGTTGCCTCTTCAAATGTATACAGATTAATATAACACAGCATCATTTAGATCAATAGCTCAGATGATTTTGATGTTCCATAGGATTTCTGTTAAGCCTGAATTTTTAGTGGCATCAGATATCTTGGCTATTAGAATGGCTTTCCTCACACGTTCTATGGCAATATTGAGTTTTGTATACACAGTGATGCAACTGTTAAAGATATTAAACTTTAGTAACTATGTGGTGTGTGCAATGCATTTTTTTTGTCTGTTTAATCTTCCATTAGTTCAGAACCTGTAGACCAGTGTTTTTGGTTTTTTTTAACTACGATTTTAGCATTGCTTAATCCTCTGCCTCCATTCAAAAACCTGTCACCAACTTTAATACAATCTTCTTCTTGTACAAACAAGAAATGTTCAGCTCCTCTGTATAAGTCAAACGTGCACATTAATCCCAGCAGAAAAGCTTTCAATACAAGCAACTGAATCTTAGGGACAATAAACAAAGCAACTAGTTTATAAGTTACTAAGCCCCATTGAGTTTCATGGTTGTTACATTACCGTGGATTCCACAACTTTGTGGTGCTGTAAACAGATGGATTTAATTTCATTGACATAGTAAAGACAGATATGAAAGCTATTCAACTTCAGATGAGTGAGTTAGATCCTCATGCTGGAAGCAATATAGCTGGTGAAGACTGATGTAGACATTGACTCGTTTTTTTAATTTAATAAATTACTAAAATGTAACCATATTCCTTTATTATCACTATAAGGGAATATGGCTGATACTTACAGATGACAATGCAACAAAAGAATATAAGTAATCCAAGCAGATTCCAGATAAAAGCAAACTGAACCGTTGAAGTATGTTGTGGGTATGGAGATGTAGAGCATTCTGAAGACATACCAGTTTCTGTAGTGTAGAGTTATTTTAATCACATTTATGCGACCTGCCCAGGACAATTTTATGTCCTTCCAAGATAGAACCTCTTGCTTACGTTTCCTAAGCAGTGGGATGTGATTGTGTCTATGTGTGATGGAAATGGTTTTGGTGAGTTGCACCCTCAAATAGACCACTCAAAAGCAAAGACAGCTTCCACTACTTAACTTGCATGTTGACATACTGTTGGGTAAAACTTGGGTCCTGGTAGTGTTAAATTCATAATAAGAGAAGAAGCCATATGCTCACAATTCAGCTAGTAGATTTGGTATATAAATCATTGGTTGGAATATGGTTAATAAAATGCTGTCCACAAATAAAGAGAGTTTATGCGCTTGATAGTAAGCTCATGATTGTCTGGATGTTGTTGGATTATTTTGAGCCAAGGGTTCCATGGAGAAATAACAGCAACAGGGATAGTGGTCACCCTTTTCAGTTCCCATTAGTTATCCCAAAGGCTGATGGGTGGGCGTAAAGAGTCAAAATCCATATGATAAATGCTGATGGTAGTCCAAATTTTTCTAAAACCAAAACGCATGTATCCTCAGTGTAGCCTATGAAAGGCCTTTTCCACATCTAATGCTAGCAAAAGACAGTTGGAATCAGTAGAGTTTAGGTGACTGATAACATTAAAGAGATGTCTAGAATTATCTGAACCCTTTATAAAGCTTGACTGGTCATCGTGGATAGTACCGGAGATAGTCTATTGGCCAGCAATTTGCCAATGTTAAGCAAAGATATGGAACAATTGAAAGCATATCATAACTGATTTCCCAACAATAAGATTTTTTTTATTTTTTTTTTATTGAAACTAAAGGTTACCTGCTCAGAATTTAGAGCATACACAGAAACCATTCACTTCAGCATTTAAAGCCTCAACAGATCCCAGCCATGGTTTTGCTTTGATCCACCTTCTCCTCTAGGTGTTGTGTCCACTCAGCAATAGATTGGAAGTCTATTTTGATGTCAACTGATAGCGTTTTGAAGTCAGCATGCAGTGTTGTCTTGAAATTAGCAAATAGTCTCTGCATAGACCCATCCATTGCTGGGTACAGGGGATAGGGTGATAGAGAAGTGCTCTCACTATACTCAAAGTCAGAGTCTAGTGATTCTGCTTTCAAGCCTCCATTTTGAACAGGGGGAGAGACACCCTATTTGCAGCGGAGAACCTCTGTCTAGTCTTTCAAGGACATTTCAGCTTGCTGGACAAGTATACCAAGGAGAGAATATAGTATGTTTGGCTTCTTAGCTGTGGAATCACGGTATGGGAGTGTGCCATCTTGGAGCTGCACTCTCACACGTTTAGCTCCATTGGCTTCCTGGCCCTGCCCTTCCTGTCTTTTTGACCACATTTATGCCATTATAGTACATCGATGTTTAACAAAGGAAACCTTTCCCCAGAATGAATCAATAAGAATAATGGTTAAAAAATAAATAAATAAAATAAAATAAAATATTTAGATTAAAAATAAATTAAAAAAATTACTAACCTTCCAGTAGACCATTATTGTTCGGTTTCCAGAAGCCCCTGTGATTTCTCTCCAAACAGTGAGCTTTCTAGAAGGGGCTGAAAAGACAAATAAAAATACTATTGTGTTCAGGAAACATCCTAGGGTGAAAGCTGAAAAGACTTTCAGTTGCGTAACACTACGTTTAAAAATGCAAGAAAAGAAATTAAATATTGTAGGAAATTCCCCTCCTCCCTCCAAAAAAATAAACAACTAATTTTGAAAGCGCAAAACTGTAACAAAGGAAAGTGAAGATAAGCAAACTATTCATATATGAAAACAAAAATATCATTAAACAACTGCCTTTAAGAGAACAAAAAAAAAATATTTTATATTGAGAAATAAAAAATAAATAAAAAAAATAGTAGTTTCTGCAGCAAATTTATTATTGTGATAACCAGATATCCATACATGACAAATAAAGATCTACAGGGTTACTCACTAAAGTGATAATTCAAAGTGAATTTCATATGTATGGTCAAAATAGCTGAATTGGAAAAATTCTTCATGTCAGCTATGCTGGCAGTTCAGCTACCTTGGCCTTAAAAAAGTGATATTAATTTAGAATTCTAACTTTCATTAATATCATTGCTGATTTGCACGTTCTATCTTATATGCGTGAGTAATTCTTATACAACTTACTATTTCCCCTTTCCGGTCCTTAAATAAAATTCCAAAACCCCCACCTTTAGTGATGCATATCAGCATTCAAATTAATTTATCTACGGACATGTGTTTTCTCATTTCTCTGTCAAATAAGTTGTCATTGGTTGCTCTTACCCTATTTAATAAACAAATATTCACTGGTCATTTGAGCAGTGAAAAGAGTCTTGAACTTTCCATTCTTTCAATAAAGGAGAGCACAATTATTTTTGGCATGCATAGAATGTTTACTCTTACAGAGCACAAAACAAAAAGTTATGGTGGGGGAAAAAAGTGATTGAAAACCCCTTCCACCTGAAGTCAGTGGATAGACAATACATTGTCAAACACATATCTGCACACACCAGTCAAGCCATAAGACTTGCTTTTCCCATAGAAATCTCAAATTTGCAGTGATGTTACTACTGCAAGGGATTTTGGGTGGACATATGTAAATTAGTTCAACAAAGAATCACCTTTATTCTTATTTTGAAGATTGATCTTTTCAATGAACTCTATGGGGAGGAAATATATAAATAAATAAACAAACTACCTGCTGCCGATGTATGGTGCTTTTTCCTAACGCTCCAGTCACTCCACTTCCAGAAAGAATTGAAAGCTGCACATCTTACACGGAAATCATACCGGTGATACGGATGCAAATTGGTGACAGAGTAGTTGTAATATCCATCATCTAGTCCAGAAAAGGTGACAGTAAGCTGTCAAAGCAAGAAGATGAATAAGAGTGTAATAAAACACCATGTTTAACACCATGAATTTTTCAATAGAATGTAAATATGGATCTTTTCTCAACACAAGGTTTCTTTTGCTTGATTTAGTATGCAGAACATCTGCAAAACATTATTGTCTCTGCATGGTTTGTATCAAACAATGTGTAGATGATTTAATTTGGTACTAAGAAACACAATTATGTACTACACAACAGAGATTGTTCAAATGACTGAATACATAGAAATTATTAGTTCATTATGCCGCATGTGTGCACATGACATAATTGTTAACCACCACACTCTTTTCTAAATCTTTCTCTCCGATTTTGATCCCACACTTGCCTAGTGTATTGATGGAAAGGAATTGTCTTTACCAAACCATCTGTAATCCCAAAGTGATGTTCTTGCCGATGTAATGCAGACTGAATATGTCACCCACTAGTTCTTGTACTATTATGGAGCATAAATAGTGTTTCAAGGATGAATTTAAAAAATGTAAATAAAATAAAAAAACATTCTCTCTATTTGGAATATATATATTAATTGTCGTGATAAAAGTCTGAATGGACTGAAACATCGACATCTTATGTATATCATTGTAATTGCTTAATAATGCAACAGTAAAATTTTACTACAAAAGACTCCAGAGTGCTCTCTATTTGGAATATATATTTAGCTGGAGACTGCACCAGAGCACTCAAAAGACCGGGAGCATCGAGGGCTGGGGCCTGGGAGATATATATATATATCTCTTTGGTTTTGCACCCCTCCCTGTCACAGGTGCCTCACCACAGGGCCCTATTTCCCTAATTAGCCTTGTACTGCAGAGAGCCCCAGATGGAATTTTTTCCCCAAGTAAGTGGGTTATTCTCATAAGAGCAGACATTAGGCTGTTAGAGTAGGACCTGCCAAAGATGGGGTACATTGATGTGGTGGCAGGCTTATGCAATGTAACTAAAACCCTATTATTTTTGCCTAGATTAGGTGTTTTAAAAAACAAAACAAAAAAAAACACTAATAAAATCTGTCAACATTGAAGTTGCTGTTTAGTGGATAGGAGAGTGCGTGTATATATATATATATATATATATATCTATATATCTATATCACACACACACACACACACACACACACACGGGGGTGTGGTTAATCACTGGTTCGGATTTCACAGGCACAGTAGCACCTGGTTTCGCACTTGTAATGTTTTTGTTTTTTTGAGTTTAAATTTAATAGTAGGGAGAGGGAAGCAGTAATAACCTCGGTCAGGGTCCTCTACAGTCCAGTCAGCCTTTATAACAGAGCTGCAGGAACAGTTATAGAGGGTGTAAAACTCAGTGCTGTCCCAGCTACTTCAGTGTCTGAGTGTGGGGCTGGACAAAAAATGGGATGGATGACTTCCCATCTGCCCACTAGTAACCTCTTAGCCAGGAAATGCCTTGCAGGAGGAGCAGAGAAAGCTCTCAGTGATGCACACTGTAAAACCATGAAGCTATAATATCAAAATGACTGGACTACAGAAGACATAGAAGGGTGAGGGTGAGTGCTAATAACCCTTCAAACTCCAGAACTCAAAGCCTAAATCTGAAAATAAACGCTTTACTTTAATCCTATGTTTAAAGGGTTATTCCAACCACCATTACCACTTCTCCGTTTCAAAGTGGTCATAGTAGTAGAAGTCTGGATGTGCAGTGTTTCAAACAGAGAGTTCAATTGGGTGCTGTTGGTAAGTTCCACTTCAGCACATGTGACAGACAGGCAGCCGAAAACTTTGTTCTGTGCTGCCTAATGTCAATTATACATTGGTCGTCAATGCGCACTGCACGTTGCCGAAAGATGTAACAGCTTCTTCCTTGCAGGCAGAGGTTGCAAAGGAGAAGCTCTTGTCCCCTTCCCTACCACATGGAGGGAAATCCTCTCCGCTCCCAATCTTTTCCGTTATTTAATTTTTAAATCTCCCTGCCCTTCCTTCTTTCACACCCTCTCTTTCTCCTTTCCCCCCTCCATTTGCAGTCTCAGAGCACATGCATGTGCTCTGAGATTATTAAATTCATCAATCAAAGGTTTCTCCATGAGAAGCCTTTGATTGGACATCGGCGCAGGTCCCATGACGCCAGATGTGGGGGTCCCGGGGAACATCGCCCGGCGTTAGATTAAGGTATGTAAAACTTAAAACTTACGTTTAAAATGCTCTTTGAGCATTTTTTTTTTTGGGGGGGGTAATAAACAGAGTAATGCCAATAGGGCATTATTATAATTAACACAAAAACTGTTAGAGTAACCCTTTAACTCCTCTTAAAAACTAAATACCACACCAACCCAATACTAAGTGTACATCCACTTTAACCTTAAACTAATTAGTCCTAAACAGCCTTTAAGCTACATTAACTTTAATGTTTCAAGTTATTCAATACCCCATGTAAATCTAAATCTGACATAAGCCCCTCTCTAACTTTAACACCACTTTACCCTAACCACTTCTAACATTATGACTGACCCTGCAAGCATATACACAGCTGCATGCACCTTTTTTTTTTTAAATCTGAAATGTCCAGCTCATAAATTCATTACACTTTATCTGCCTTATTTTGGGGTTTGAGAGCAGAGAGCACCTTAGAAATTTGTGTCCACAGACACCCAACATGCAAATCCGGCCCTGACTGAACCCCCAGCTGCACATTGAAATGAGCATGCTCTTCAGAAATGTATCGGTCAAAATAATAGGCCAATGCTTATAGTGTACCAAATAAAAATGCAGAAACAAGGTTGTTATATTTTCAATCTATTTTTATGGCTAGCTAAACCCACTCAAAGTTAAAACTACAGTGAAAAAAAATATCCACATTTTTATTACCATTTGTGTTCCTTTGCTGTCACTAGTTTCAATTTGACATTGGAGTTGTAATGAAGTCAGGCTCCCAGTTAGTTGCCAAGATAGAAATACTTGTGTAGGGTCATTTTTACCAGTGGACAGTGTTCCGGGAGGCAAAAGATGAACTGCATGCGTTTGAAAAGAAAATAAATTAGAAAATTGCATACACACACACACATATATACTCACAAACACTTCCTTTTTTTTGTTTTTAAATACACAGTTTGCACATATAGGAGCAATATTTATCTTATTTATTTATAAACTGTTTAACCAGATGTGATACACAGATTTTTCTACTTTTCATGGATGAACTGGAAAATGCTATATTAAAATTGTCGGTAAAAAGATTGTACATGCCCAATTATTGTCAAAAATATTTAACCCAAATTTTTTTAAATAAAAGTAGGAGAGGTAAAGCAATAATATTTGACTCATTATATTAATTCCAAGTTTTTGCATGACTTGATAAGAAATTAGTTCTGCTCATTTGTTTTTGTTTTTTTTATCCACCATGGCCCAAGTATAAACCGGTCAATTTAAATCCAAGTCACAAACTGCTCTGTCTGTCCTTGTCACATAGCCAATAAAGACTTGGTATATATTCAAAGGGGAAAGCATGAAAGAATTGTCAGGGTACAGCAATAAAGCTATTTAACTATTTTTCCAAATTCTCCAGCTAATATATTGTCATTGATACAATTATTAAAGAGGAGTGTGAGTGTAATGGAAATTATTTCACATATGAGGTATATCAAACCAAAATTCTAAATATTTAATCAAGGTACCTCTTTCAGTTGCATTGATTGTAAGAAAGGCTTCTGATTGGCCCAAGACATTAATTCCTCTGACGGTAAAGTTATACAAGTTTTGACCTTTTAATATTTTAAAGATACAGCTGTCTTCATTACAGGATATGTTTATTCCGGAGTGGCTGCAAAAATAATAATTAAATAATAGCTCAGTGGTTATCAATTACATACATAATTATATACACAATCAATGAATGTTCTAAAATGCTCTAAAGTAGATATATTGTGAAAAAATATATACTTTGAAAAAGACAAATATATGCGATTATTACATAGATTATGAAATTTGAATCAAAGATGTACTGTCCCCTATGCCTAAAAACAACCGGACTGTGATCTTCTTATAAATCGCAGGTTTTAGATCAAGGGCAGTAATGGATTCAGAGTAGTAGTGAGTTGAAATGGGTGTTTAATTGTGTAACAGAGACTTAATCCTTAGTATTTAAGTTTTCCATACACCAAAAGAAGGGTAAATAGCATTATCAGTTTCTTGACTGTAGGTCCCATAATGGAGATATCCAGAATCAGGCATTGCCCACATTTACCAAGTTATTCACGTAACACCAGATTTTGTCGAATTCCAACCTCAATTGCAATACTTATATTTACTAAAGCCAAATACGGTGTGAATTTGTTAATTCAAACCTGCAGCAAGTGCCAGGATACATTCGGTTTCTGGATTAAAAATCAGGGCTTTCGCATCTAGATCCTGTACTAAGGATTCAGAACATTCACAATGCACTGGTTTTATAAAATTTGGACAGAATGCATGCAACAGGATGCACATTTACTTTGTCAATAGCTGTCATAGCATGGGAAAGCCTATATAAGGGCTTCCCCCCTATCAGATCTCAGTGTGTGGGGAGCCCCCACGGAGCAAATATGGATTAATTTTATATTGTTAGTTTTTGTAGTTTTTCATCCGAGGGTTATTGAACTAAAGTTTGGATTTTTTCTTCTTTAAATATCTGGGCTTGGATTTAAATAATTTGGTCTGGATTTCAGAAGTCTGACATTCCCCTCGGCTGAACTTTAGACCAAATTCACGTTCATTTGGAGTTCTGAACTTTAAAATCCATACATTGTAAAATACTGTGAACAATGTCCGGATTGTACACTCAGAACGGCAGCAAATAGTTTTGCCCAGTTTGGTACGCGACTATTTGGACTTAAGTTAAAACCATGCAGATTTCATTTTTGAGATCTATCTGTACAGTTTGAACTTTTTAACTAGGGTCACATGGGGTTAAGCGACAAAGAGGAGCATATCATTCACATAGGAAACTAGCTTTTGTAAACCTTATGACCCAGGAAACCCAATATACCCCTTTTTCTAGCCTAAATCTTCAAGGAAAAGTTCCAGTGAACAAAAAAAGAATGGTCAAAAGGGGGCATTCACTGCCTGGACCCATTGAAAATCTGTACTATACATGAAAGTCCCCATCTCTATTAGTCTGGCTACAGGTAAGAAGTACGTTATAAAGGGGGAGACCCACATGCATAACCATACCCCAAATTCCATGTGGCAGATCATTGCTAGCATGAATCACCAGTCCACATGATCAAACGCCTTTTCCGCATCAGCAGTGAGGCCGAAAGAGCAGTCGACCAGAGATGCAGTGTTTTATTATAGATATTACGAATTTGCTAGCAACTAATTAAAAAATGAAATTTTAACAACTGGCTAGAAGAACTAGATCTATAAATAATTTCACATTTCATTCCTTGATTGATTGATTGATAGATTCCAAGACTACATATCAATCCAAGCAAGAATGCAGGGAAGAAGAACTTAAAAAATAAAATAAAATCACACTACACATACAATATTAAGATATTTAAAGTAATGCCGAAATGCCCAAAATATTTATCATTGACAAATGCCCAATTGTACCTAGGTTCCAGAGCATTTAGTGCAATATTGGATCATTAAAATGTGTCAGAATAAGGTGACTATCTATTAAACAATTACCTTTCATATAACGTGTATCGTGTTGAACGTTCTCCCATCAACCCAGTTTCTCTTCCACAACCCCATGTACATTTAATCTCTTTAAGGTCATGAGTTTCACAGCTGAAGTTCTGAGGTATGTCTGGAGGATCTGTAAATAAACCAAAAATATAGAATTGCCAAATGTTTTTGCTATTCACCTGTAGTTAATTACTTCAGAGTATGTCTTCAAAAGAATGAGTGACTTTTGGAACCAAAAACAGCGACTGTGGAACCAAAATAGCTTTTTAGCAAACCTTTAGGCTGTTTTTCCTGCACAGGTCCATTAGGGTTCATCAGAGACACAAAAACAGACTAATCTGGTTTGAGAAGACTGCTGATTTATTTGATAGTATAGATATGACAGTATCTTGTAAGCAAGCCACTAAGAATAGACAAAAGCTAAATAGCTTGTTTTGTGGTTGAGTCCCCCCTTAGGATGTCTTTTGTTCCATTAAATGAACCTACATCATTTATATAGTAGCCGGGCTAAACCTACACTAATCAGTCACACTATTAAAGGACCACTATAGTGCCAGGAAAACAAACTCGTTTGCCTGGCACTATAGTGCCCTGAGGGTGCCCCCACCCTCAGTGTCCCACTCCCGTGGCGCTGAAGGGGGAGGAAGGGGTTTATCCCTTACATTTTTTCCAGCACTGGGCTCCCTCGGTGCTGGGACTCTCCTCCCTCTTCTGACAACCCTGGCTGAATGCGCATGCGCGGCAAGAGCCGCGCGCGCATTCAGCCAGTCCATAGGAAAGCATTCTCAATGCTTTCCTATGGACGCTGGCGTCTTCTAACTGTGAAAATCACAGTGAGAAGCGCGGAAGCTCCTCTAGCGGCTGTCAATAACCCATAGGTAAACATAGCAGTTTAAAGCAAAAAGGGTTAAACCTAGCTGGACCAGGCACCCAGACCACTTGATTAAGCTGAAGTGGTCTGGGTGCCTATAGTGGTCCTTTAAAACCACACAATATAACAAAAAATATGTGGGTGTGGTATGAACCCACAGACAATACCGCAACTCCAAGTTAAAATGTCTTAGGTGTCAGGTGAAATAATCCTGAAATCAAGGTCTTGATATGGCTAATTCTGGTGCTGGGCTATCCCACATATGGCGTAAGTAACACAAAACAAAATGCAGGGGGGTGGAGCTTAGCGACCAAGCTGAGCAGTCGCCCACTAGATGAGCTCCGGGGCAAAGGAGGACAAAAAAACGGACAAAAAACAAACAAACCAGTAAATCACCTTCTCCGTGCCCGCTTCTGAGCCCAAGAGTCAGAAACATACCGCCACAGCAAGGCATGAGAGGGTCACTGACCAAAAGCATTTGCAGCCAGGGGATTGATTGGAGGCCTGTATGCGGCCTACACTGATGGTACAAAGGAAGCGGCCAACCCCTCCACCGACTGTGGCCTACATAGCCGACGGTTTCCCCAGCAACCCAAGTCTAGGGTACCAAAATCGACTTACTGGTATCGAACCGAAGGGACACATCATGGCGGACACCGCATGAAAAATGCCTTTCCTAGCTGTTATGGCATTGTAAGACAGCTGTGATTTTCCTATGCACAATTAGCAATGTTAACTGCTGTATGACGCCCCCTAGCTGTGTACACATAGTTTAACTTTCATAAGTATTACTCCAACTAGGTACTACTATACTAATCATCAGTCAACTGTTAACTACTTTTCAATGCTTTCCCTGAGCCTAGTCAGGGTCTTTGAATGTTTTATACCATAGTTAGCCATGTTACATTTTATCTAAGATCCTAGATCAGCTAGTTAAGCCAGTGCCTAGATTGAATGCTCCATAAAGTTTATAACACATTGTGCCACCAAGATTTTGTTAGACCTGCTCAGCTAAACTAGGACCACACTTTAATTGTATACTCAGTGTAATGTGTAAACGTGGACAATCTCGACATAAATAACAAAAAATGTGCACGAATTTATAAAAACCCCATTGTTAAAAATGTTGATGATCAGCGTGAGGAATGCTAGTGGGGCACCACACATCTGCTGTTATGATAAAGAATTACAAAAAATAAATACAAAAAATTTGTGTTGCGCTAAAAAAAAAAAAAAAAAAAATTTTTTTAAAATGCAGTCCGCACTCAGGAGTAAACGCTTATGATTCACAGAAAAATACACAGAAATAATGAAAAAAAGCACATTTATTGATATAAAAATTGCAGCGATGTATGGCAGAAAATAGTCATGGCAGCACTCCAAAAAGCAGGAATATAAGAGCAGGAATAATGAATAATGCAAACAGCATATAATAATCACAAGATGGAGATACATATATCCAGGCAAGGACCATACACTTGCAAAATAATAGGAACATGTAATGAATGAAATATTGAATAGTTGTGATACCTGCTGCTGCCAGACATAAGGATGACCACCTACACTGCCACCCACAAAAAGGTAAGCGTGAGTACCCTGGATGCGTTTCGCACCCCCCTGGTGCTTTCTCAACATGAGTGAAATTTTGGAGATATATAGGGAGAGTCCATTCAAAATGAGGCTCCATATAATACAAATCACCCACACCTGAATCTAGACATGGGTGTGAGGAAACTACGGTAGACTTACTAAATATATATACCCAATAAATTAATCCTAGCCCCATCTTTTCTAAAATGCCCGAATGTATAGATGGAAGATCTATACTAATTAGCAGAACACCACCGCTGACCTAAAGCAATGCTTGGAAATAGTTAAAGGACAAGTGTGGATAATATATAAATTTCATTTTGAAATGATTAATCAAAACAAAGGAGAATACAACAATAAACATCCAAATTGATAATACTTTATTTCCTACTTAGGTAGTTCCTTACTCCATGGAATAAATGAATTCCCTCATATCGTTGAAATAATAAAATAATGAAGTATGATATAATGACTCCCAAATACATAGAATAATTTTAAATTGCTAGATTTGATAACCCCAGAAAAACAAATGGAGAGCAGAGAAGCGCAAGAATGCTTCCATTGTAGAGATGGAAACTCAATATTTAAAACGTAGAGTGTTAAAGAGGAAAAAATTGGCAAACTGTTTACAGCGGGGTCTTTACATGGGCATTTTAAAAATCTATTTCAGTTAATAGAGCAAAAATTGCCAATAGATATGTGTATGTCTCACCATCTTAGTTTTAAAACCTCCAGAATTGACTATGGGAAAACTTTTATAAAACAACCAAAGTGTTAACCATTTAGTGAACGTAAGCAAACTTAAAAACAAAAAAGAGACATATGAGATATATAATTAATGTTAAGAGATGGTTGAAGGTGGAGGAGATTCAAACAACAAGGTACTATAGTGTTCCATATCAATTGTCCATAACGGTTATGACAAATCACATTAATTTATATAAAATAGGCATTCAACCATTAGGATAGAAAATGAGATATTCTATAATACATATGATAGCCCAATGATGAACTAGGAAAAACGTTAAATCTTGAACGATGATATATACCTCAATCTAAAAGCTTAAACTATAGCACATGGATGCAGAAAAGCAGGATACAATGGGACAAAACTCCAAATGATCTAGTGCCTAAAGATATCATTTGTGTCCCATTCCACATTAAGGCATAGTGGGAATCTCGTCTGTAGAGTAAGTATCCAGAACATTTCATTCTTAAAAGTAACACTATAGGGTCAGGAACACAAACATGTGCTAAACCCAACATTTGGGTGGCTTGCTCCCACTCAGTCCCCTTAGAAAAAGGTGAAAACTCACCTTATTTCCCATGCCGCGCGGGTCGGTGCTGACCCCGTCCCCAATCCGCCTCCTTGATTACATCATCAGAATTGCCATAGGGAAAGCATTGGATTGGCTAAAATCGGAAAGGGGGCGGGATCGAACACCATTTTGGCCAATCAGCACCTCCTCATAGAGATGCATTGATTCAATGCATTTCTATGAGGAAAATTCAGTGTCCCCATGCAGTGCGTGGAGACGCTGAATGGCAGTGCTGCCTACTGTGCACCACTGAGCCAGGAAGCACTTCCATTGGCCATCTGAGGAGTGGCCACTTGGAGGTGTGCCTAGGGGTAATGTAAACACTGCCTTTTCTCTGGAAAGGCAGTGTTTGCATAAAAATGCCTAAAGGCAATAATTATACTCACCAGAACAACTACATTAAGCTGTAGTTGTTCTGGTGACTATAGTGTTCCTTTAAGTAAACGTTTCTCCAAGCTACCCCTCTCTTGGGACCAATTTACACGTCTGAATTCCACGAAAAAAAGAACTTTGACACATCAGCCCCAGTACAAGATTTAAAATTTATTGATACAGCGGTTTGTTGCATTGTGTCATATTTAATACTCTGGATATCTATATTAGGCAAGCAAAAAGATCTAAGTGACTTTGATAAGGGCCCATTTTTCCTGCTGAAATTCAAGAACTGATAGTTCACTTGCTGCCTAATATATCCCACAGGTGTCATTGTAACAATATAATCAATGTTATTCACTTCACCCATCATGGCTAATCAGTATCTACGGCGGATTAAGAACCAAATTGACAGAAAAGTTCTTTCTGCACTGTTTTTGCAATTTTGTATTACCACTTTGTTATTTGTTCTTCCAGACATCTGTAATGAATTGCTTGTTATCAAGAATGGCAGAAGTTGTTAGCCTTTGTTTCACAAAATCTACATGAACACAAGTAACTCAGAAAAGTAAATCATGTTAAAGGGAATACATTAGCCCAGTAGAATATCAAATTATGGATTTCACAGATACTTACACCCGACAAAGATTACAGATCCGAATGGCTCATCCTCCTTGCTTGTGTTACATACAAGGTTGTCCCCACTATCCCCTGACATGTTAAGATTCTTTAGCTGAACATAGCTGGTGTTCTTGCTGATGTGAATTGGTAGAAATTCGGTCGATTGAAACTGAATAGTATTATGTAGTCCATTCACAGTGCAGCAAAATGTTATGTTTGAACCAACAGCAACCACTTTATCTTGGGGATATGCGTTTTCTTGAGGGTTACCTGTGTGGGATAAACAGATCACTTTATTGACATACCAAAGAAAAGAAGTCACCTAACTGACTGGTAGTGCATGGCTGCCTACCTAACTCACCAAGATTGGGATATTCACATATTCTATCATTTTTAGTAGTGTACTGCTGGTTTAGAAGTGTAATGGTAACAAAAGACACAGCAATACTGGATTAATTTACAAATACATATTATTTACCATTAGGACTTTAGGCTAGGATGCAAATTAGCATTATATTCTATTTAGCATTTTAATTACCAGATTACTGGTTCTCAACTGGGGTTGATATTTATGCCCAGCATACTATACACTGTGTACTATGCTTTGTACTTGTGATATACCAGTCACCAAATATCTGTAATCATGTCTTACCTTTACAATAAACTCATTTTAAAAGGAAAAAAAGTGCAAACGAGGCAACTAAACTGAATGCGTACAAGTCTAATAAACCCACAATGCATTAATTAATGCCTGACAGCAAAATGTTGGAATAAAGTGATACCACAGAGTGTAGTTCATCTGAGTTTGTAAACTAGGGCAGTGGACAGAAAGTATACATATTTAGAATATTGCTAATATGTGTATGACATATGTAGACATATTTTGTATGGAGAAATCAGTACATGGGTGCTGAAAACTAGCTCTAAGTGAACTCAGGACATCAAAAGATTAGGGGCCAAAATAGGATCTACACCAATTAAAGCCTCACAAATGGTGTCAATCTCTAATTGCACTTAAAGGGACACTATAGTGACCAGAACAACTACAGCTTAATGTAATTGTTCTGGGGAGTATAATAGCTCCATTCAGTCATTTTAATGCAAACACTGCCCTTTCAGAGAAAAAGCAGTGTTTACATTGACCATAGGGACACCTCCAAGTTGCCACTTTTCAGATGGCCACTGGAGGTGATTCCTGGCTCAGTGCTGCACAGTAGGCAGCACTGCCATTCAGCGTCCCCACGCTCTGCATGGAGACACTGAATTTTCCTCATAGAGATGCATTGGTTCAATGCATCTCTATGAGGAGGTCCTGACTGGCCAAAACAATGTTTGACCCTGCCCCCCCCTTGCAGATTTTAGTCAATCCAATGGTTTCCACATGAGAAAGCATTGGATTGGCAAAAAATCTGCAATTTTGATGATATCACCTAGGGGGCGGGGCCAGCGCCGGCTGACCTGTGGAGAGATGAAAATAAGATGAGTTTTAACCCATTCTGATGGGGCAAGCCACCTAAATGGTGGGTTTTCACTATAGGGTCAGGAATACATGTCTGTGTTCCTGACCCTATAGTGATCCTTTAAACTACAAGGACTCTAAAAGTAAAATCAAAAGCAGCTAAAAAAAAAAAACATTTATAAAAAAAATTATAAAAAAAAGGAACAAAAATATTGGACACAAGGAAAAAGGTTTGTGTGAGTGTTTTTACTGCAGCACGGAGCTTTTAGTTCTAGGATTAGGCTGAAGCACAAATAAAATTACTGGTAATGGCACTCTCTCACAGAGTATTTCTTACACATGATATCTTGACTAAGTAGGGAAGTTTGATTAATCGTTAGCCGAATCCTATAAACACAATCTCTGATTCTTATTATTTTTAGATCAACTTTGCAAATTTAATTCTGAAAAAAATAGTCTCATAACTTTAGGAATAGGTTTAAAAATCATGTAAGGTAGAGAAATTGATAGTGGGATCCCTACTGGGAATCCAAACCCTGTGGACTGCAGCACATAATGTAATCGGGGGCCCTCAGCCCTAAAAGAGTGCCCCTTTCATGTTGCCTGCTGGGAGGAAGTGAAGTGATATCACTTCCTCCCAAGTAACAGAATGCCGCTGGGGAGGTGGAGGAGGCATACACAGGAGGAGGAAAGGGACTGAGGAATTCAGACTCCCATCAGCCTTGTCCATCCAGCAGGGGCAGGGTACAAGGGGCCCAAGCAAATGCTTGCCAAGGATCAATCAACATAAAAGACAGCCCTGATTGTATGCAGGCATTTTCAGACAAAAATGCAGGGTTTACATTGCCCCTAGGGACACCTCCAAGTGGCCACTCCTCAGATGGCAACTGGAGGTGCTCCCTGGCTCAATGCTGCAGTGTAGGCAGCACTGCCATTCAGCATCTCCACCCTCTGCATGGGGACGCTGAATTTTCCTCATAGAGATGCATTGATTCAACACATCTCTAAGAGGAGATGCTAATTGGCCAAAACTGCATTTGGCCCCACCCCTTGCCGATTTTAGCAAATAGAAAAAAAACAAAAAAAAACAAGAATCACATTTAAAATCATGACAGCGAAATTAGCAGTAGGAGGTCTATCTTTTCCCAATGTTTTTCTGTGATTTTCACCCATTTTTTGGAATAGGGCAACAAAAATTCCGCTACAAAGTCCTGATATATTTTTTAAGAAAATATGCAGCGACATTTACACTCTCCACTTATTTTGGGTTGATTTAAAATTTTTTAAAAACGTACACATCGATCATTTAATAATAAACCAGCTCTTTAGGTCTATTCATCTGATAAAAAAAAAAAAACATTTCTTTATACGCTCCATTAGAAGCATTAAAATTTCCTATCCAATCTTTAAATTTAACTTGTTGGTTATTGATTAAATTTCATAGACTATTTTAAATTTCATAGATTATTTTGCTCTTTTGTTTGGAACGGCAAAAAAAAAAACAAGAATCACATTTAAAATCACGACAGCGAAAAAAAAAAGAGAGAGAGAGAGAGAGAGAGAGAGAGAGAGAGAGAGAGAGAGAGAAAAGAAAAGAGAGAGAGAGAGAAAGAGAGAGAAAGAGAGAGAAAGAGAGAGAGAAAAGAGAGAGAAAGAGAGAGAGAGAGAAAGAGAGAGAGAGAAAGAGAGAGAGAGAAAGAGAGAAAGAGAGAAAGAGAGAAAGAGAGAGAGAGAGAAAAAGAGAGAGAGAGAGAGAGAGAGAGAGAGAGAGAGAGAGAGAGAGAGAGAGAGAGAGAGAGAGAGAGAGAGAGAAAGAGAAAGAGAAAGAGAAAGAGAAAGAGAAAGAGAAAGAGAAAGAGAAAGAGAGAAAGAGATCTATATATCTCAAGATTGAGGCATTTCCTGAGATACAAATGAGATATGGATTGTCAAGCAGAGAAATATTTTCATTTTTGAGGTTGACTAACTTTTTAAGTCACATTTAAACACTGGATCAATTTCCCTTGGATACAATCCTTTACGAGACCCAGCCAAGGAAAACTTCTAAAATGAGAGATATTATTAATAGAAATCTTCCGATTACAAAGATAAAAACGATTTTAAAATGGGAAAGTGACCTGGGAAAGTCGTTTTCATTACTCTCATGGTTAAAATATTTAGAACTTTTTAGAAAAGCAATTAATTGCGTAAACTTACACAAATTTTTCCTTATACTTCTTAACAGATAGTGTATGGTTCCGACCAGATTCTGTAAGTTTCAAAAAACCTCTTCAAACTTATGTTGGAGATGTAAAAAGGATTTGGGCACCTTAAAACATATTTGGTGGGACTGTATTTCCCTATTTGGCATTAAGCGGGCTGTCCTTCAGCTTTTTAGCTACGGTAATTCAAATTAGACATCCCTAGCCTTACTCCTGAAAACTTCCTTTTTCAGATCGACTTTCCCAACCTGCCCATGTCGGCTCTCTACTTGACAATCCATGTCCTGATGGCCACGAAACTTTGTATATCCAGATTTTGGAAAAATTAAGAAACTCCAAATTAAGAAGAAATTAAAACCTAAATTAATTATCAGGGAACAATGGAAAATGTATATACTTTAATAATAGTAATAACACAAAATATAATAAAATGTGATCGGTATGGTTTGACTATCAAGACTCTAGACCCAGACCTCGATAATAAAACCCAAGAGCATTTACGAACTCTTAAATTCTATTTTCAAAATAACTTATTAAACACTGTTCGGTTTGGTCCATAAACACCACTAACGACTTGGCGGCTTCTCCCCCCCTCCCCCAAAGGAGATAAGTGACTGAGCCGCTTTTAACTACCCTCCACTGATGTCTCCAGCTTTTCTTTATCTAGTTTACTTGGGTTTAATTATTATTTATAGTCTATAAATGTATCATACTCTAATCAAAATCCATTCTACATTCAAAATAGAATATATATAGAACAGTAGTATTTAACCAATTATAAATTGCCCTGAACGACGTTTGATTTGAGTTATGTAATGTATATTAATGTTTATGTCTAAATTTCAAACTGCTCTTTTTCCTTCTATACTGTAATATTATACAATTGGTGAACCCCTTCTTCTCTGTTAGAGACTCTTACTTATAACTTTGTTAGATATAATAGATTTTCAAATTATTGCATGTACAATTCACCATACGCCTTAAATTGAATTTGTGTATGAATCGAAAAAAGCAAGAAAAAAAAATTCAATTGAAAATAGCAAAAGTTATTTTTACCAAATACGGTTTGCAGATCACTCCATTCACTCCACTCCTTGTCTCCTTCATAATGTTCCTCTTCAACATAACATCTGATTCGTACAGAGTGTGAAGTGCATTCCAAAGACATATCAGAGGTCCACTGCCACTGGAACTCAGTGCTACCCTGACTGCATTCTGTAATCACCTCTTCCTAAAATGTAAACATGAATATATCAAAATATACAAATTTGTCCCCAAAAACCCCCCAAAAAACTAAGTATATATTTATAAATTATATTAGTTAAATATTTTATATCTAAAATTTATATATATATATATATATATATATATATATATATATATATATATATATATATATATATATATATATATATATATATATATATATATAAATAAAATTTTGATTCAATGCATCTCTATGAAGAGATGCTGATTGGCGCAATGTGACGTTTTCCTGTGCATGTGCGGTAGCCTTCCAATGCTTTTCTTTGGGATCAAAATTGATTATCTCAATCGAGGCAGAGGCAACCAAAAGGAGACCCGCACAGTGCTGGAAAGACGTATGTAAACTAAACTTCTTTTTTCACAGGGGGGAGGAGGAGAGCTCCTTCAATCAAATAATGCTATCAGTAGCATCTGATTGCAAGACAGAGATTCACTAGAGATGTATTTAACCCTTCAATGTAAACATTGCAGTTTCTACAAAAGCGCAGTATTTTATAGGTAAGTGTATGTGTGTCAACAATCAAGAGATTGCATAGCTAAAGTGACATGACCACTGCATCATTGAGATTAAGTAGTATGGGTGACTTCAGTAGTACTTTAAGACAGGCTTTATTGAAAAACATTTTTCATTTAGATTTACATAATTAAAATAGGACATTATCATGGTGGCTCCGTGTGTGCCGGGGTACGCGGTCACACATTTGAGAAGATTAAATGACCTTCCTTGAGTAGTCTACCTCAGTAAGAGTTGCAAAGGCCCTTGATGTCTATGCACACTTTGATGATGGAGACAGATAAGGAATGGCTACTGTAGGATAGAAGCATGCATGCATCAGAAGAAATGTAAAATGTAATACATACTGTTTTCACAATGATCAGGTTTTCACTACGAAGTATCTGAATCTCCCATTTCACTGGCACACCATCAACACAACTGGAAGTATCCCATCTCCAGGTCACACTAAGAGTATCTGATAAGTAATCGGGACTGAAGGAGCGAATTATTGGAGTATATGGAATAAACGCTGTAAACGAATCAAAAACAGTACATTAGGGATGTTCAACACCACAGCAGCAAGGGTGCCAAGCTGCCTGTTTCTCAGTCCTTGAATATTAGCTTATGATGACGCAAAAGAAAAGGGAAAACTAAATTAATCAAAGTCCCTTTTAATCAGTTACACTACAAACAACGTAATTAAATGTTCACAGAGAAAATGTCAAGCACACTATTTGTTTATATGTTATAAGTGATAGAATCAAATTATCTTTCTAGCCAGACATGTGAGTATCAAGAAGTTCTCCAGAATTAATTTGGTCAGGACAAGCCAAAAAACATATAGGTGGTGACAAATTATGATCTGCCGGAAGATATGAGCCACTATTTTGATCTATTGAGTCAAGTGTTCCTCGGTCATATTTAAAACAATTAAATAAAGCACAACTCACTTTTTCTTTTTTTTTTTTTTTACACAAATAACAGTTAATCCACATTATATTTAACCAGCGTAAAGTGTATTGAAAAGCAAATTTGTTTTACAATTATCCACAAACTAAAGAACATATTGTTAAATAAACCAATTAACAAGCCTAACATAAAACAAAACTTCAAAATCATTAGGTCAATTTTCTTTCTACCTCTTAAAGGACCACTATAGGCACCCAGACCACTTCAGCTCGATGAAGTGGTCTGGGTGCCAGGTCCATCTAGGGTTAACCCTTTCTGCTGTAAACACAGCAGTTTCAGAGAAACTGCTATGTAAACATTAGGGTTAATCCAGCCTCTAGTGGCTGTCTCATTGACAGCCGCTAGAGGGGCTTCCACGCTTCTCACTGTGATTTTCACAGTGAGAAGACACCAGCGTCCATAGGAAAGCATTGAGAATGCTTTCCTATGGACTGATTAAATGCACGCGCGGCTCTTGCCGCGCATGCACATTCGGCGGAAGAGGGAGAAGAGTCCCCAGCGCCGCGGGAGCCCGGTGCTGGAGAAAGGTAAGCCTTTAACCGCTTCCTCCCCCTAGAGCCCGGCGGGAGGGAGGACCTATTAACACTATAGTGCCAGGAAAACGAGTTTGTTTTCCTGGCACTATAGTGGTCCTTTAAAGACAACTGAAACTCCCACACAGCAGAAGGACAATCCTCTGAAGTTCTGTTAGTTGTGGCTGTATGAGTTTAATTTTCTATAGAGAGATGTATACATTGATGGAGAGTCCTGAATAAATAAATAAAAGTTACTTACGGATATCCAGAGTAGTTTTTTGAAAATGTATCTGCACGGGACCCAAATCAGTCATGGCTGTAATTTTTATGTCGTAGCTAGTGAACGTCTTTAATTCGACTTCTAATTGTGTTTTGTTGGTCTGAAAACATCTTTGAGGCTCAGAAGACCTACAATAACATAAAACAAAGTGAAACATGTACTTCATTTTAATGTGGGTACCAGGAATTTCTAACATTCTAGAATTATCTATGTTAAAATTTTAAGTGACACTGTCGCCACCACCTTCTCCCCCATGACAAATTTGTATTTCAAAAAGATATAATATAAGAGATATACTGATACAAAGTAGGGACTACTTTGTGTCTGTATACTTCCTCTGCCTGATACTTCTAGACACCCCTGCTGCACGGAATTTTCTTTATCTATGGAGGATCAGTTCAGATAAGCAGAACTCACCTTTGCCCACCTCACTGACCTTCAGCAGCAATGTCACCATTAGGGGTGCTTACAAATTCTGCACAGTCCCCACACAGTGACAGTGCTGCTTGAAGTGTTTAATTTTTGAAGCAGTGGTTTAGGCAGATTATTCTATGTATCAAAGGAACAATCAAGCACCATAACCAGAAAAGCTAGCTGTAGTGGTTATGGTCCAGAGATGCCCTCCCAGTGTTTGTAATCAAACTTTTTAAGTTTTACTCCTGCAAAGAGCTGCATTTGGCTCCACTGAGAGCTTGCAGGCAAGCTCATAGGTAGATTGTACCAGATGAGTACTCTGAGCCAACAAGTATCTCCCTGCAGTGCCAGATTTAGTTTCTGAGGGCAGAGGAGGTGGTGGGCACCCAACTAACCACAGGATTATAATAAGGGAAAGGCAAGTCTACTGTAATAAAAGAGGTAGAACATAAGGAACAGGAAGGAACGTGCTTTGCACTTAAACATATACATTGCTATTAATCAAACAAAAAAATATCCACCACAATTGCTTTGTTTGCCATTGCTACAGTTTCTGCATGCTTTGTTAAGGGGTTAGAATAAAAAAGGAAGGGGGCTAATTTACAGATCAGACTGCATAGAAACATTTGCATGACTGGGGGCATCCTGAAGAACCCACCAACATTAAGCTCGTGGCGCTACTCACCGGATTGCCCGACTCCTGACTTTACGGGCTACAGGTGGACCTGGTGTGGGAGAGACGGTCACACTCCTGGTGTTCTGGTCGGCTGAGCTGATTAAGCAGATTGGTTCTCACCCCGTCCCCTTTGTACCAGTGGGGGATATCCCGGTCCCCACCAGGGAAAGCTACTACACCTTCAAGGCATAGCAGCTTATACGCACTACAGACGAGAAGTGGCAAATCTAAGGTGGCCGCCGCATAGACAGAGCACCTACTTCACTGGGAAATAAAATTCCAGCCAGCTTTTGTGCAGCATTCCGGTCCCGGATCGAGTCATGCCAGCAGCTACCCACACTCACTTCAGACCTCCGGCTCTAGGCAGAGAGCCCAGATGAGCAAGCATCCCACGCAGCCTGCCCCTGTGGTTAAAGCCAGTTGCAGAACTTCCACATGGAGACACCCTTCCAGACGGGGATCCCACCGAACTCACCTACCCGCATGCGGATCAAGCACCCATGCAGTCCAGCATGCCCCGGAATCTCAAAGAAAGACTCAGCCTGACTGTTGCGAGGAGAGTATGTAATGGGGGGAGCAGCAACGAGATATACAGCCTGCGATGGTCCCGAAGACCCTGATCACCTGCCTCAGCATGGCCTGCTTGCCAAAGGTATTGGATGACCACAGAACTCTGAGCCCTTCATTACGGTTTCCCTCTTCTCCTTACATAACTCTAACTCAACTATAAAGTATACAAAAGCTGTAGCCAGTTGAATTCCCCTAGGTAGTAACTCTCTATCTTATATGAATCTAAGTGCAGTCAGCTCACCTAACTTGAGAATGCTTTTGTATATACTGTCTTAAACTGCTCTGCACTCGCTTCCCTCGTGTTTTATATATAATTCTATACAGTTTTAACTCAGTGCAGTAAGCTTGATCACCCTCACTACCTAACTCAATCTGCACACTTTCTGTGCAAATTTTCCTTTACCCTAAAAATGTGCTTATATGCTCTTTCTTGCTCTGACTTGTCATCATTCTTCGACTCTCTCAGTGTATATTGTATTCTTTGTTAATATCAAGCACAACAAAAATAAAGAATTATAAAAAATAAAAAAAGAAGGGAAAAACAAACAAAAACACAAAAACACCATACCTATAACATATGTTGTAATCAATGGCAGCATTTGCAAGGGGTGGGGGACTCCAAGAGCACAGCAGGTAATCTATGTCATGTGTTACACATGCCAGGTTCTGGAAGAAATCTGAAGAATCTAAAACAACAAAATATAGAATGAAGGTTATGTCATAAAAGTTAAATATATATATCTCCACAAAGAAAGGAACACGCTGGGCTTTTTGAAGAAAATTATCCGTCGTTATTAATAACACACAGGTCATAATTCACCGCTTTCATATTAAATGCACCCACACTTATTATATATAATTTTATTCAGGGGAAACAGGGCTTTCATTTAACATCAAATATATAGGTATGGAACAATTTAATATGAATAAAATATTTTTAAAAATGGGAGAAAATATTTTTTCAAATTTTCTCGCAATCACATGGCCCAGGGGGGCCGAAGAGGACAGAGGGGGACTCCCTGGGCTCCCAGATGAGTCCCCATACCGCAATCGCAGGCGACCGTATAAGTACATAAGATGGCAGGGCGTTCTATGCTGCCCTGCGGCGTTTAGAGCCACCAAAATATGGACGGCATAGAACACCCTGCAGTCTTAAGGGGTTAATGGCTTTTGCAAAGTTTTATTTACTTTTTTAAACTTCATGTTTTTATCGTTTAAATTATGAGCACCCCACACAACTAACATTTAAAAATACCTTCTGTTACCAGAGGTGTAAACTCCACCTCAATCAGCATTATTGGGGCAATATTAGCTAGACCTGAACAAGAGTTCCGGACTGGCTAGTGTCAATTCTGTGTATCGAAATTTCAATGCAGACTCTCATACATTGTCTGCTCTACAAAAGCTGGATGTTATAAATCTGCCTTTAAAGAAGAGCAAGAGTCCGGTGGGACCCAGGTAAGAGTGAAGGCCATTACAATTATTTATACAGTGCCAACATATTCAGCAAGATTTACATAATGGAACAGAAGGCAAAAAGCGTCCTGCCCAAACAAGCTTACAATCTAAAACCTACAAAATGCTTTGCCAATTACCAGGGCATAGGGTCAAGGTACTCCTATCATCATAACTACTACAACAGGTTGAAGTGGTTATGATGGTAGGAGTCAATCTTTAAACCTTTAAGGACACATGATATGTGTGACATGTCAGGATTCCCTTTTATTCCAGAAGTTTGGTCCTTAAGGGGTAAGGAACTATACATTTTGTACATACAATACTTACTATAAAATGTTCCAACTACACCTCTCCACATCTAATTTATGTTGGAGAGGCTGTGGACAGACAGGTACTTTCTACCATATTTTCTGGTCATGAGCAAAACCATCCAACTATTGGCAAAAAATATTAGAAATTATCATTTCTATCACTGAGTTCCCTGTCGATTTAACTCCTAGATTATGCTTACTTAAATGTCTCCCTGAAGATTTATCAACTCACAAAAGAATAATGTTAGGCCACCTCCTTATCTCGGCCACATAAATCATTTCTAGATATTGGAAATCTGTTACAATTCCCTCTGTTAGAGACGTTTTACTGGTTTTATTTGAGAATAAAAGATGTGAACTTGCTCTTCGAGTACCATCGACTACCAATGTACTCCTCAGACATGACTGGTCTGAATGGGAGAAGGCAATGAGGAGTAAGTACAAGCTTGATGACATTTCCACCTGACCGAAAACCGCTTTGTCATTTATGTTTGTCATTTAATATACTATATTTATATAAATATATAGGACGAAATTTTTCATTATCATACTATGGATGTGCAATTTATTAATTTTTCCCCAGTTTTTCTTTTTTATGCTTTTCTTCATTTATGATCTTTGTGTTGTTACCCATTGTATCGATAATGTAACCAAAACAAAGATCTTTGCTATTATGTCACTGTCCATATATCATAATGTTTAAAAATACTATTGACTGTTAAAAAACGTTGACAAAAATGTACAATTGTTATTTTTATTATTATTTAAAACAATAAAAAAACATTTGAAAATAATACGTTCTACAGATACAATTGTATTGTACAAAACATCTTAGTCTTAGTGGTAAGTGCATGAGTTATAGGAACATTACAGTGTTCGGAATATAAACCTGTATTCCAATAGTATATAGTGTATTGCTATAGTGCCCTTGTGCCAAGCTCCACCCACTGCAGAGAGAACTGTGGTGTGGGAGAAAAGGTTAGCCTTTTCATAAAATAGCAATCATATTGTTAGTAGCTGATGTTGCTACACTATAGAGATACTACCAGATCCTGTTATATCACCACAAACAAGGGTAGAAGCAGAGTCTTGCATCAGGACTATAAATCAAATCTAGTCTCTATAGGGGACTATCTGGGGCACCCCCAAAAAAAAATTAGAATCCCTTTTATAACTCAAAGAGAGAATCAAATACACACACACAAAAAAAAACCTTGATGTGAATGTGAGAACTGTGCAATATAGATTATATAAACATAAAAATGCAATTGTATAGCATTTATGTTAAATCAACGTTTAACGTTTCATTAAAGTAACGTGAAAATTTTTTAATAAATATTTATTTTTAATTGTGGATGTTGGCTGGTATATCAATAACATAAAATTAAACTTAAATTTTAACCTTTCAATTAAAAGCATTTTGTAACATGTAATATAAGTAGGAGCTTTTATAGCATTGATTATTTTTTTATTGTGTTTTTGTTTGGTTTTTTTTGCCTTGCTGCTTTTACGTTAATGCACTGACAGCACAGGAAAGTGGTTATCATTTTCCAAGTGTGGATTTACTGTAAGTCCTTTTTTGTTTTCCTCCCTTGGTTTGTTCTAATGGCTGTTTATTGCTCTAATTTCTTTAACCACATCTTATTAATGATTGACCTAAAGCACCACAATTCTTGGGATCACGCTAACCAGAACACTATTGAAAGGAAACAGCTGGCTCTCAAATAAGCAAGCCTGACAATTATCAGGCACAATATGAAACTACATCAGGACAAATAATATGAGAAAAATAAAAAAAAATTATAATCTAGACCAAAAGGACAAAATTGAATGATTTTCTTTAAAAACCTAACAGAAAGAAAAACGTGAAAAGAAAGTAGAAGAGTTTACCGAACATATACTCACTTTGGTTTTGAGCTTGGAAACGGTTTGGCAAACAGAAGAAAATTGTGGCAAGCAGAAGGCAGCAACACAGCCTGTTCCACATTCTCCTATCAATCTCATGCAACAATGCCTTCTGAGATTATGTGAGCCAAAATAACATCACTCATCCAGTTGAAAAAATCCTGCAAAAAACAGACACACACAAGTCAATTTCCAAAGATCTCTCTACTGATCAAACTTTGTATTACAGAGAAACATGGATGAATTTTAGAAGGAATTTTTTTGTTTTTTTTTTAAACAAAGAATAGGAAGTATAGAGCAAAGCTAATATGCCAAATTTTTCCTAAAATGATTGCATTAGATAATCAATCGCTCGTTTTGTGTACAATAAGCATAATTCTATGATGAGATATATATATCTGTAGAATACTTCACAACACTGGTATACCTCCTAACATTGGAAGGTAAATGAAACAGGTGGGTGAGGATTCTAGAGGGCATTCCCATTGACGCAAATGGGTGGCCAACCTGGGAGTGGGTGAGCCTGCCCAGTGAAGTCAAGCACACCAGGCTGAAAGACAGCTCCGTAGTTGCAGGGCCATGCAGAGTGCGCTGCTGAAGTACTCTCTGCATGGTGCTAATGTCAGTCGCAGAGATCAAGTATGTGTAATAAGGCACTCTTTGCTGCCCAAGGACAGTTCCATGGTGTTCCCAGAAGCAGAATACAAGGGCACTAAATTGGGAAGGTGGAGTAGGATCCCGATATCGGGTTTTCCTGCCAAAAGCAGGATTGTTTGGAGCCCTGCTGTAGTCTCGGTTCCAAGAGTAGAGTCTCTTGTTTACACAGAAATTGGAAGGCTACATATGCATTTGTCATAATTTCAGAGTTAGTCTTTTTTGCAACATGTAAAATAACCTATAGGTAATAAGAATGTATATATTAAATAATAACAGTCCATACTCCACACAAGCAATTACACATTTTTAAATTGTGTTACAGTAGTTGCAGGGTTGGCTCGTCCACAGACCGCGGGGGGCCATGGCTCCAAGTGGCACTCTGACAGGGATGACATTTTGCAAAGTGTGCGTTTATCTGTGCATGTGTAGTGTGTATATCTGTATGTCTGTAATGTGTATAGATCAGTTTGTGTATTTGTACGTGTGTCATTGTATATGTCTGTGTATCTGCAGGCGTATCAGTGTGTCTGTATCTGCATGTGTGTCAGTGTTTAATACACAAACTGACACACATGCAGATGCACAGACAAAAAAAAATTATATATATACATATATATATATATAATTATACATAACGTAAAAAACTAAAATACATCTTTCAGAAAAATATGGGCATAAACCAACATTTTCAATCTACAAGTACTGAAGGTCAATAAAACACATCCTGAAGGTTTTATGGTTGTCACTGTGAGATCAGTTTTAGTGGTGGATGCTCCATAGGCATAGGGGCACTTAGGAAAATGCCCTAGCTGAACGGTGGTGGAATAGAATAAAATTACATATTTTCTGGACATGTGGAGAACAGGGCTAGGCAGTGGGTGACAGGTCTCTATGCTTCTGTAATGAGATGCAAACAAGGAGCTGAACAATAGGCCTGAAGGTTAAGGAGCCCTGTACTTAAAATGAAGTCCACTTTTACTTGATTCATCAGCTGTGTGGTTGTATTCACCAGCACCAGCTTCAGGGTCAGGATGGTTGCATGAGACTTGGCATGAGGTTTTGTTCTCCACCATCTTAAACCACCACTGATCCATCGGTCAAGAAGCTACAGGGTTTTCATAGCTTTCCAATGGTTTAATCTTTGAAAATGCATAATCTAACTCATTGACTGAAGCTTAGCAAGACTAACCTAGAGCCATCTTTTTGGGAAATCCTAGCTGCCTGCTAATCTATTTAGATGGTAAATATCAAAGGAACACAAAGCTGTAATTCTAACACTATAATGTACGTCTGCTTCTGCCCTTAATGAAAGGATTAAAAGTCTTTTAACCACTTACCTGATTCCACCTCCAAGGTCCCTTTAGATCAGTTTGTGTATTTGTACGTGTGTCATTGTATATGTCTGTGTATCTGCAGGCGTATCAGTGTGTCTGTATCTGCATGTGTGTCAGTGTTTAATACACAAACTGACACACATGCAGATGCACAGACACCCTGATACACATCCATAAACATTGCAGATACACAGACACACAGATACAAGCACTGATATAGATACAGACACTGACACACATGCAGATAGACAGACAAAGTGTATAGGTAACTTCACAACACTGGCTGTACACAGACACACGCTACATCCCCAGCACACACTTAATCATGAGCACACACACATGGAGACACTACAATTGCAGAAGCATATATGGGTTTTTTTTTTGTGGGGGGCAGGGGGCATTTCCTATTTGGACCCAGGCAACGCAATATCTTGGGCCGGCCCTGAGTAGTTGTCATAATTGGCAGCAAATTTCCAGTTTGAGAGGAACAATTGCACCACACATTTTACTTTGCAATCACTTAGTGAAGAGAACATGTAAAAATATAATACCATTTCTTTAACTGTGTCAAATTCCAGAATTAAGTAGTAATAATAAAGGGATAAACATTAACAGAAGTGCATTTTTCAGTTAAAACCAAAACAAACAAGTTAGCCCTATAAGTAGTCTGTTTAATTCCAAGGGCTGTGGAACTGCAGGTGTTTCTGTTTGATTTTAATTCATGCAAAGTGGACAGCAAACTATTACAACACATGGGTATATATATATAAAAAATAAAGACCAACATGAAATACACCACCTGCCACTTGTAAGGAGCATGTGGTGCATCGGATACATTTTTAAACTTGACTTTTATGAATTCCATAAGAACAGAAGGCTCTTGATTTGGCAACTACTACTAAACGGCAATATTCAAAATATAGTAAACAGGAAGGGGGAAGGGGACGGTGCAGAATCAATCCAGGTATTGCTGTGGCACAATATCAGTAAGAAGATAGAACACAGTTATTAAAACGCTAACATCAATACGGAGGACAGAAAGTTCACCAAATCTGAAGATAAGCGCTCTTTCTGCACAGAGAGAGATCGTTAAATTAAAGTGGATGCATCATTCACTAAACAAGTCTGCAGTCCTTCAAGTGAGCACTAACCAACATACAGCAATCTAACAAATCACAAGGAAAAACAAAAATAATTACTTACACAAACATACAAGGTTTGCTCCAGAACCTATTCCGTAAGAACAAAACGGACTGCTCAGTCCAATGTTACGTGTGTTATATCGTGTATTATATACATAGACCCATGACAGAATATTTCCTTTATGCAGTATTCTACAAGCAGGGACAGTTCCCCCGCTTGCAATCGGAAACTCCAGGTATTATTTCTTAGTGAGCACTGCAAACAGGTATTTAAATCCCCATTTTTACAATGTGGTGTGAGCAAGGTTATAAATCCCTATTGGACAGCAATGTAGTGTAAGCAGGACTAAATCCCTGCTCATACCAAGAAACCCAATTATCACTAGATACCTAGGGCACCCCACTGTCAGCTGGCACCCGTCTTCTTGATGAGCTGCATGCAGTCCTGAAATTCAACACTTCATATATAGCCGTTAAACACTGCTGCTGAGTTATCAAGCTCAGCTACAGTGAATATCTTACTAGATCTGATGCCACCAATCTTAATGCCTTGAGCATACTGTTTTAGGTCTAGCAGATCAGTCTGTCATACTGAAAATAGCTAGAGGATGTCAGTAACATACCAATCTCTATTTTATTTTAGAATTATTTTTGCTAGTATTAGTACTGATATTAGTGCAGGGAATCCCTTGGGATTAGGATTAAAATTAGGTTTAAAATAAGTATTCGGTTATACATTATTAGTTTCCATTTGGGATTAAGTTTAGAATTAATTTTACGATTAGAATTAGGTTTCAGATTAGTACACTATAATACAGATCATCATAAAATTCTGAAATCTCTCTGCAGATATTGGCCCATTAATTTTGAGGATCCCACCTTGGGGGAATGGTTACCTAAATAGCCAACACTCATATTTAAAAAAAAAAAAAAAAAAATGTTTTAAACCTTTGTAAAACAACTACGGGAGCCAAAGGAATTAAAGGTACGAAGAGAGGACGCCCACCACTCCACCAATGACATTTTGGTGGTTAGCCCTATATAAACAGCCTTGGGGAAAGGGGTTATTTAGGCTGCAAAGTTTGTATTATATTGGTATTTTACCTATATGGGTCCCAGAGGAAGTTCTGAGAACGAAACACGTAGGACCAACATTTTTAACACTATTTGTGAAAATATACTTTTGGAAGAAACCTCTGGAATATCGTTTGGTGACTTAAAAAGACCTGTCTGGAGACTAATCTGGTGACTTAAAAAGCTCCTTTAGCCCCCTATTGAAATCGTGGGTGGCACCCATAAGGCACTTATCACCTCTAACTTGTGAGTGAGTGCAACTGCAAATTTGCATTTTCTTAATATCAGGCAATATTGCACTGTTATATCTCAGCAGGATCCCTAAAATGTTATGCTCTATATATTTCTGCTATTAATGTCAGCAAGGAATGCCAAGGCAATGTTAAAATAAGCAATGGAATTCCTTTTATATCAACAGGGAATCCCAACACTATTGCTAGGGTTTGGACTAAAAATAGGATTAAGATTATAATTAGAGTTAGGCATACGATTAGGGTATAAATTAGGATTAAAGTGATATTTAGCATTAGATTTAGGGTCAGGGTTAGAACACAGCAAATTCTAGCTAACTTTACAAGTGCATACGTGGCGCTTTAAAAATTAAGGAAATACAAAAAAAAAAATCTTACTCTATAACTGCACCCTCCAAGTGTCAATCCAACAAAAACCCATTCACAATAGTATACATATAAGAAAAAATCTGCTTGTGTCTTTAAGTGAAAGACAAACAAATGAAGCTGTGTCCTTCAGGGGTTAATAAATCTTCCAATAACTTTACCGGAAACTTAGGACCTAAACACAACACATCAATTTCACACTCCCATAAAACCCTATGCACTGTAATCATTGGTAATCTGATTTATCTAATGAGGTTATTGGGGGGGATAACTTTTAAAGCTCAATAATGCCCTTCACATCAGCAAACAGAAGTAGAGGGACAAAGGACTAGTTTGCGGGTTTTATAGTGCTATTAAACAAAGTGCTAAAGTAATCTATATTAATTAGCAGTCCCTTCTAAACAATGTCCTTAAAGTGTATTGATCATGCCAGGTACAACGTATCCTTTTTTTTTTTTTTTTTAAGGAGCGTATTATTCTAAGCTATACATTGTGCTAATAGTAGATTTGATGTATTGACTCATTGTAAAAACGATTTTAAAATAGGTCTTTGTCCCACTTGCCAGACAATTCTTCGGCATAGACTCTTTGCTAAGGAACCACAACGGAAGTGCTAGGTAACTCCCTAGCTAACGCAGTTAGATCTGGCTAGGGTGTATAGAACGGAATGACGGACACCACTTAATTGAGATGCTTGCACGCTGGCAATGAAATCAGTGTGTTGGTGTCACAAAGAAGGTTTGCCCTGCTTGTGAAAGTGTCCCCAAGCAGGGCAAAAGAATACAGATAGCGAGCCAAGCAAAGGCAGACCTCAGGTGAGGACATGGCAGTGCTGCATCAGAGGGTGAAGTGGGTCATGACCGGTTCACTTTAACTCAATGTATATGGTGCCGTAGAATTTGTTTGTGTCAAACAACACAGGTAATATTTACAAATTAACACTAAATGGAAAGTCTAAAAAAAAAAAATAATAATTTACAAAAAAAGCCATCAGATGTTACAAAATGAAATGTTACAAATGAGAAAACCAATCTCTCTTGAGTGGCTTCACCTTGGCTCCCTGTCAATTATTGTTATAATCCGTGCCCCCTTCTATCATTAAACAGTGGAGGTGGAGGAACAATGTTTCTGTTTATCCTCCTCTAAAGTAATGGGTGACCAGGCTGAACTGGTTTGTGACATTAAAGGAGCACTATAGTTCCAGGAAAACAAACTCACTTTCCTGGCACTATAGGGTCATTAGGTCCCCCTCACCCTAAGGGCCCCCCTCTCCCGCTGGGCTGAAGGGTTCAAAACTCCTTCAGCCACTTACCTTTCTCCAGTGCTGGGCTCCCTCTGTGCTGGGGAACTCTCCACCCCCTGCCGACGTCAGAACCGAATGTGCATGCATTCTCACAGTGGGAATCGCGGAGGCGCCTCTAGCGGCTGTCAGTGAGACAGCCACTAGTGGCTGGATTAACCCTCAGTGAAACATTTTCAGCTGCAGGGTTAAAACTAGAGGGAAGTGGCCTGGGTGCCTATAGTGGTCCTTTAATTGTTAAATCTTGAATACAGATTTAAAAAAGAGATATGACACAAAGGTTAACAAAAAGTTAAAGATTATTTTCAGCTTTTTAGTCAGTGCTGTAATTTTTATGGATTTCCTTTAAGTAAAAACTGATGTTTAGCTAATAAAACAAAATAAACATAATTGTATCGCTCACAGATCTGAGGGGGTGTGAAATTTGGAAAATTCACAGAAAGCAAACTTCCTTTTAGACACATAATGTGTTAGAACCTTCATTTTAAGAAAATAATGTAAGATTCTTTAAATTGCTCACAGATGAAGAGTGCAATGCATTCTTCTGGCTCTCACGCAGTTAAAAGTTAGTCATTTGTTTATTTCTAAATCAATGCAGAGCTAAAGGACGCCACTGTGTGTTCTGAACGGGTGAGTTTAAAAGCTCACAGTTGATTAAATTGCAAGTTTACTGATACACTGGGTAAAGTAAAGAAGCATACAAGGTTCGGATTAGATTTTTAATCAGCTGTGAGAGCCTTTTAACTGCACCCTCAGCACAGAACTGGAGCAGATTTGTGCCGTGGAGCTTTTGGAATTGTGCCGTGTACATGTTTTGGAAAATGCATTGTCAGATTGGGAACTACAGGTAGAAATACATTAGAATGGTAATAACTTGGAAATTATAGAACATTCCTAGAACAGAATAGGGGAGGGACATTGCTAGACAAGAACTCTTCATCCTTACTTCAGATTATGCAATATACCATTTCACAAAACACCACCAAAAAAAAAAATTATATATATACATATATATATATAATTATACATAACGTAAAAAACTAAAATACATCTTTCAGAAAAATATGGGCATAAACCAACATTTTCAATCTACAAGTACTGAAGGTCAATAAAACACATCCTGAAGGTTTTATGGTTGTCACTGTGAGATCAGTTTTAGTGGTGGATGCTCCATAGGCATAGGGGCACTTAGGAAAATGCCCTAGCTGAACGGTGGTGGAATAGAATAAAATTACATATTTTCTGGACATGTGGAGAACAGGGCTAGGCAGTGGGTGACAGGTCTCTATGCTTCTGTAATGAGATGCAAACAAGGAGCTGAACAATAGGCCTGAAGGTTAAGGAGCCCTGTACTTAAAATGAAGTCCACTTTTACTTGATTCATCAGCTGTGTGGTTGTATTCACCAGCACCAGCTTCAGGGTCAGGATGGTTGCATGAGACTTGGCATGAGGTTTTGTTCTCCACCATCTTAAACCACCACTGATCCATCGGTCAAGAAGCTACAGGGTTTTCATAGCTTTCCAATGGTTTAATCTTTGAAAATGCATAATCTAACTCATTGACTGAAGCTTAGCAAGACTAACCCAGAGCCATCTTTTTGGGAAATCCTAGCTGCCTGCTAATCTATTTAGATGGTAAATATCAAAGGAACACAAAGCTGTAATTCTAACACTATAATGTACGTCTGCTTCTGCCCTTAATGAAAGGATTAAAAGTCTTTTAACCACTTACCTGATTCCACCTCCAAGGTCCCTTTGCACTGACTCCGTTTCCTCAAACATCAGCTAAGGGGGAACTAATGTGCATGTGCAGTGAGCATTGCGTGCATTAGGACTTCCCAATAAGGAACTGAATCAATGCTTTTCTAAGGGGATTTGCAAAACGCTGAAGGTCTTCATGCACAGCGTGAGGATGTCCAGTGTAATTTCAGAGTTAAGCTTCATAAAACTGCAGGAAGCACCTTTAGAAGCAATCTTAACACTGCAATGTAAACATTGCAGTTTATGGGAAAGAAACATCACCCAGACCACTTCAATGAGATGAAGTGGTGTGGGTGCCTATGGTGTCCCTTTAATTTGATGCCTTATTTATTATTGCATATAGTAAAATAGTGTTATAGGTGCCAATAAGAGTTAATACTTCTATAAAGAACAGGACATATTTAGTAGACTTCAATCAGACAGTAGGAGGACAAGTTGTCAGAGGTAAGACAGAAGCAGACTGTTGAGTAATTATTTTGTAAGCGGATATGCATGCCTAATTCATCTCTGACATAAAAAGTTATTAAAACCACCCTGACATATAGATTTTGGCAGAATCAAGGCTCATCATTACTGAACATTTAATCTGAAACTCAGTTCCAGTAGAGCTACAAAATTTAGCTAAATATACTATAGTTCAAAAACACAGGCTTAAAATGTTTTAGGCTTTATTTTCAAACAATTTATCAAGTCACTACAACTCCGTCTACTGAATAAATAAATCAAGAGACTGTAGAATACATTAATCTACACAACTGCCCCATCTAGCCTGTACGCCCTAAAATTTCCAAATAGGCCTCCAGGTTTTCATAAAATTCACTTGAAGTGGTCATGGTGCCTGAAGTCTGCACATTAAATGTTTTGCTATGAAACGCTGTGCATAGAGATAGTCCCTTAAATGCCGGAGGTGTACCTCCATCGCTGGTAGCTTTATTAACAAGCCTGGAGCCAAGTTTTAAGGCTGGCGAATGAAATCAATGGCAGTACACCCCTTATGTGCCACTCCTATACTCCCCTTACTCCAGGCTCACCGCCCTCCCTCTCTGGTTAGGGGCATGGGGGGTGAAGTCAGGCAAGAAGTACGCAAGATATTTGATTTGGTGATGGAAAAGAGGTTAGATATAGCATTTATTTTTAAAATTGGGGTGCAATGGAGCATTTAAGAAAGGATTACTCAAAACAAAACCTTTGTTTTATGAAAACATTGTTTTTTAGTTGGAAAACCTTTTGTGCACATCCAGAGTATCCTTTTATTCCAACAGATTGAAACACTGTGCATTGATAAAACAATCAGAAAGCAAATATTTACTTTAGATAGCGCAAAACATTATTTATGGGTTTTTTGTCTTTTTTGCTCTAAAAGTTTATTATGGCATTTCAGTTAAGAATGAGAGCCATAGGTTCTCGTGGTCACATGGAAAGAAAATATTTAAAATATTATAATAAATAGCACAAATTAAAATCACTCAAATTTGTACCACGAAAAAATGCAATTGTTAAGTTGAAGGACATTTTAAATACAAGCATGTAGGTAAACGTGATCACCTGAACTAAGTACCAGTTTCAGAAAATGAGGGGATGGGGGGAATAACATTAATATTCAGTTATCCTACATAATTGTGTGTGCCTCTATGTATGTTCTCTAATTTGTTAGATGTGTATACAAACATATCCACTCAATGTGTTAGAGAATTGGGTTTATATTAATTACTGCTCATTTAATGGGCAATCGGCTACGAGTTAGCTTCTATCTTCATCCTGAGATTGTGACAAAAAGTACAGTGATACAGTGGTTTAAAATATTTTGTTGTATTTTTATATGATCGGTCAATAATAATTTGCACATTGATTAATCAAGTAATTTCACAGCAAATCTTCATGGTGATATTAGTTAGCTCACATTTTTTTAAACATCTTAGTTAATTTTTGTCAAAGGAAAATAAAAAGTTATGCTTTTCTAAAAAAATTTGGGCGCAGGAATTTGTGTTGCAATAATCCATGAACATAAAACAGAAAAAAACAACAGTAAAGGTTTGAGGATTACACACTCCATTAACTTAGCAGCCTCATTAAACATTCCTGCACCACTATATTCACAGCAACTCAAATGAAGCATTTAAATGGCACTTCGATGCAATACCACTGTATGGGTGACTTACTTGTAAATATTGTAGTTTCTATGACTGGAAAAACAGACATTCTAGAATAAGAATCTACAACAACTTCAAAACTAATGTTGGCCTTTTTTTTGCTTTACATGAGCAATACATTAAAAATAAAAATTTTACTCACTACCAAACACTGTAGACCTAACAATGTACATGGGCACACTCCATGTCCACATACGCCTGACCTCTACACAAACCCACATGTACCCAAACAATGGGGATCAGAGGGGGTCAATACTCTTATGCTAATCTTATGACAAACCTGCCGACATGACTAACTTTAACGCTAAAATGTATAACCTGACTGTAACCCTCATATCTTGCATCTACCATCTAACGTAACTATCTCTATAACAACTGTCTACTTTTAAATGTATGCCGATCTAGTATTGTTTTACGCAACTTGTTGTCTAATCTAGACTTAACTTGAAGTACTGCAGTTAGCGATGTTAAATTATTTCAAGTGTCCTAGAGCAGCTAGATAAGCCAGCGACTAGACCAAAAGCTCTACAAAGCATAGAACACACTGTGCCGCCAAGGCTTCGCTAGACCTACTCAGCTAAACTAGTACCACATTTTAATTGTATACTCAGCGTAAAGTTTAAACGTGGACAATCTAGACATAAATAACTAATAAATGTGCATGGATTTATGAAAACCCCATTGATAAAAATGTTGATAAATCGGCGTGAGGAATGCTATTGGGGAACCACACGCCTGATGTTATATTTTTTTGCACTGCAAAAATAAAGAATTAAAAATAAAACATTTAAAATGGCATTTTAAGAAAGTAACCATACGGTATTCAGGCCTTGCAAATTGCTGAGCCTACAGCAACAGCGAATGCAAACTGATCAGATCCGTATTCATAAATTCCGAGGGAGAAAATACTTTCAGGTTACATATTCAAGTAAATCTAGCACAACCATCACGCAAACCAGTTCTGGGGCAAAGTTCTAAACATGGAAACATTCAAATGATTTTTATACATAATCCCACAACTATCTTTTAAAAGGGTGCCTGATTACATGTATAAATGAAACAATTCATCCAAATTACCAGCTATAACAATGGTGTTTTTCTTCTTCCCAGATCTTCCCCATCCTTCCCTGCACCAGCCAGAGAAATGGAAGCTTCGGTCTAAGCTAAGCCTAGAGTTACAGGGCTTTGCTCATAGGCTGACAGCAACCAGCTGCTATTCTTAGCCAATTGGCTAGCTCTGCAGAGCGTAAGGTAACGCCTAGGCAGGGGTTTCTGGTTCTGCTGTATTTTATAATGGAGGCAGAGAGAAGTGCTGACTGACCCCAGGTGAGAAGTCAAACAATTCTAAAAAAGATTAACTACTCACAATGGGAGGGTGCACACCTACAAATGAATCTGATGAAACTGAAATAAAAATAAAAGATTAATCTATAGGCCCAAATGAAGACCTGTTTGTACAGTCAGTAAAGAATCTAGTGTTCTGATTCTGTACAACGCCTACATCATTTTTATGATTTAACTGGTTATTTTAACTGTAAATATGAGATTCTGGGAAAAGATGATGTAATTTCAAGAGAAGTCGAACATTTGCAGAAAAGTAAATGCTATTAATGGGGCTATGTTCCCAGACAGTTTTCCGATTCAAGTCTTACATTTAGAAATGACAAAAAAAAAAAAAAAATGTTATGTGCCAGGAAGTCACTGGCACTTCCTTAACTTAAAGAGTTAAACCCACCATGAATGGTTTAACCCCAGCGCTATTCCCCGCTGTCCCCGTCCACACCCACTTTCAGAAAATCAACCAAAGAAAGTTATTTTCTGCTTAGAGCAGTTAAATAATGCTGTAAGCCATTCAATAGCTCCACATTCATAAACATTGCTTTAAAAAGTACTACCTTTCTCAAGCCGTTTGTATCTATGGAGAGCTACTGATTGGCTTACAGCGACAGTGTCTAAAGGGGATGAGAGAGCTTATTGACACTTTTTAATGCATTAAATGTTAACATAGATTTTATGGAACTATGGTAGTTATAGTGCAGGTATCGACTATCTCCTGAAAGATATTTAGAGCCCTCAATATGGGACATTCATGTAACATTTGAATAGGGTAATAAAAACTAATGAAAATAATGACTGAATTTGGCAGCTGAACTACAAAACCCTGCCATCACAGGGCAGCTAAATATGTCATGTTCACTTACATTACTGGTGGGGAAGGAAGTCTCTGGATTAAGTGCATGCCAATAAGAGAGCGCTTAACAGAAACGTGGCATGTCAGTTCTGTAAGCAAGTCCACCAGTGAAATCCATGCACACAGAATTTCAGAAGTGCTTCTACAATGCCCAGAACACCCTACATTTGCCTAGCAGATTTCATGAGGAGCTTTTTGAGAACGTGATAAATACATTTTACTAGATCCAATTTTGTACGTAAGAGAGAGAGAAAAATGTTCTCTATCCCTTGTACCACAGATTTGCTTCCTCCTCCAACTCAAAGACTTTATTAAATAGACAATAGTACATTATGTTTATGTAATACAGGATATCAACAAGGAAAAAAAAAAAAAGAGACGACAGTAGGTGTGTTTAAGAAATCTGCTCATGCTCGACATTTATTTTGGGTGTGCAAACATCAGTGTAACAAAGGAAGAGACTGTTTGCGCTTTATATATTAAATTGCAGCCACAGGAATTACTGTTTGTCTTGCACAAAACTTCAAATCATGACTTCGTGCACTTATTCAACTGAACACCGTAGCATCAACATATAAAAGAACACGTCTGGATTTGTAGTGCAGTAAAAAATAAATATGTATATGATCAAGACAGAATACTTCAAGTGTTACAAGTTGAAGGATATATTTCCTAGGTGGGTGACCAAATGTAATCCAGATCTATAAAATACCAGATATCAGAATTAAAATGAAATAATGACCTAAGTGGTTCATACTTAGAATTTTATTTTTTTTCAGACAAATATTTAAAAAATATGTATATTTTGCAATTCAAATAATCCAAAACGGGCAAGTAAATATTAAAAATGCCAATTAAACTATAAAAGTAAATTACTACAACTCACAATTGAGATGTGCACAGAAAAGATTTTTCTGATTTCAGTCTGTCGGCAGGTGTAATGCAGTTTATGTAAAATCGGTTTGGTAATTGCCAGGGGATTAAATTGACCCTTTCTCAATCGATAGGTGAATAACAGCACCCCGTACCTGCAAAATAAATTGATAAACTAAGAAAATGGAGAGAATATGAAACAAACAAAAAAAAAATATTTTTTTTTTCTGTTCATTGGATGAATAGCTTCCTTTCCTATATCCCATGTGAGATTAGCAGTTACTGTCAAGTGCCCTGGAAAGTATATTTTAAAGGGTTACTCCAATGTCCATGACCTTTTCTGCTTTTAGAAGTGGTCATGGAGGAAAGAATATGTACATGCTGCCTAAATTTTAGTTATGTGCAAATAATATATCGGTCGTCAGCGCACACAGCTTATACATTTCCTGCAAATCTGCAAGTAGAAGCGTATAACGAAATATTGCCTCAATTATAATTTGTCCCATCTCTCCTTCCCTCCCTCGTACCAGCCTTTAAAGCTCTCCCTGCATCCTTATTCATTATTTTGCTTAACCCCTTAAGGACACATGACATGTGTGACATGTCATGATTCCCTTTTATTCCAGAAGTTTGGTCCTTAAGGGGTTAAAGGGACACTATAGTCACCTGAACAACTTTAGCTTAATGAAGCAGTTTTGGTGTATAGAACATGCCCCTGCAGCCTCACTGCTCAATCCTCTGCCATTTAGGAGTTAAATCCCTTTGTTTATGAACCCTAGTCACACCTCCCTGCATGTGACTTGCACAGCCTTCCATAAACACTTCCTGTAAAGAGAGCCCTATTTAGGCTTTCTTTATTGCAAGTTCTGTTTAATTAAGATTTTCTTATCCCCTGCGATGTTAATAGCTTGCTAGACCCTGCAAAAGCCTCCTGTATGTGATTAAAGGAACACTATGGTCATCTAAACTACTTTAGCTAAATTAAGCAGTTTTAGTGTATAGATCATTCCCATGCAATTTCACTGCTCAATTCACTGTCATTTAGGAGTTAAATCACTTTATTTCTGGTTATGTAGCCCTAGCCACACCTCCCCTGGCTATGATTGACAGAGACTACATGAAAAAAAAAAAATGGTTTCACTTTCAAACAGATGTAATTTACCTTAAATAATTGTATCTCAATCTCTAAATTGAACTTTAATCACATACAGTTTAATTAAACAGAACTTGCATTTGATTGCCTGAGATTATTGAGATTGATAATATCAGCCAGTTGCGGTGAGACCATGGCAGAAAACAGGTAAATGAACTCACCTTTTCCATGTGATCGGTTAGTGTGTGTTACTCTGTGAATCTGCAAGTGTGAATGGTAAAGGACACCGAATTGTGATACCCACTTTGGAGCAGGCATGCTTGTCATTGGTAATAAAGTCAATTTAAAGTGACTTTAAAATGTCAGGCCAAAGTAGACAAACTGGAAGAAATGCCGATTTGGAGAATACTTACAATTTGGCTACTTTGGCCTGACATTTGACAGATTCAGTTAAAATTCCTGATACTTTAGGGAATAACCCCACAAAAAGAGCATTGTGGTGAATTAGCACTCACCTAAATAGTTAAACACTACAGGGTTAGGAATGCATATTTCTAATAACATTTACAGTGCACAGTTTTGGGGGTTTTGTTTTGCTTTTTAAGTTTCATTTAAAATAAAATATTTACCATAAGATTGTGTTTTCCTTATAGATGCAATCTAAATCGGATGTAAACAAAGGCGGAGCTCACTTTATTTATTTATTTATTTTTGGAAGCTGAATTCCTAGGTTTATTTCAATGCATAGGGTCTAGGAACCAAGGTTGTAGACGAGTTAAGTAGGTTGTGTTAAAGGAACACCAAAGCTTTACAAATATAAATCTGTATTATGAATTCTCTAGTGCACCCCCACATGCGCAATACAAATAAAGGATTTGAATCACCTTTTTCCAGTGCATAGGGTGTCTCGGTGCTGTTTACCTCTCCTCCCCAACACCATCGTGGAAAAGGCAGGACAATATAGCATTAGGAATACATGTTTGTATTCCTATAGCGCTCCTTTAAGGCCAGCAGTATCTTAAGAGTTTTGCATTGTGTTATACATTTCTTACAGCTCAGAACCATATTATACAGTTAACTATCTTGACTGTCATACCACTAAAATAGGATTTCAGTTAGTTTAGGACCAATGAAATGCCAGGCATGTAATGAGATAACTGAGTTGGCTTAACCTCTGGCCCTTACGTGGTTACGAGGCCTTCAATCTTTAGAGCCTTACAGAATTGCCAGCTGGACTAAGAGGAAGCACAAAAAGGAACACAACGATTGGGTAAAAATAAAAGTAGTTACTCACTAAGGAATAACATAGCTTTATTAAAAAGGCGGACCTGGTATTCACAAAACATGGATGACTAAAAAATGCTAGCTATAAACTGTAAACAAATGTATGTATTAAAATTACATAATGGATTTATTTTATCTAGAAAGGAAGAAAGAGATACATTCCTTCTTAGTGTGAAAATAAAGCATTGTGGGATACCACAACCATCATATCTTTAACCACTATACCAGCAACATTCAGATATAAAAAAAAACCCCAACAATATGAACATTCAAATTATTTGTTAGAGAATACTTCTATTTTAATGACTATTGGAATTTAACAGTGATTATCTCAGTCTATGGACAAACATTAAAAAAAAATAAAAAAAAAACTATAAAGGTTTCAGACCTGGAAAATATTGGGCAAGCATGACACTGCCATACATTTTATGAACACATACATATGAAAAGAACAAAAGCCTAAATCAACACAATATAAAGGATCAACAGGGAAACTGTGCAGTTTGGCAACAGAAATCATTTGTATGCAAATCCACACATGTGTATTGATAATCACTGAACCATAGAGAGCCAGCAGCTTTGCAGCAAAATAAAAGGCTTTTGTGCAATTCAATAAAGTAGCTCTATCACCAAAAATAAACTTCATGCAATCTGCTTCTATATAGCTCCAAGTGTCTGAATTTATTTTTATCATTATTTCCCTCTCATTTTTACTTATTTTGAGATAGATGAATGAAAAATAAGAACTACTTTTACTTATGATTAGCGATCAAGTTGATAAAACTTGGAGCTTAAAAACAAGTTTTTGTTTCAGTTGCCAATCAGGTTTACCCACAATCCATCAGTAAAATCAATTCCAAAGAATGGCAAACTGCAGACATTAAAGGACCACTATAGTGCCAGGAAAACATACTAGTTTTCGTGGCACTATAGTGCCCTGAGGGTGTTTACAATGCTTTCCTATGGACGCTTGCGTGTTCTCACTGTGATTTTCACAGTGAGAATCACGCAAGCGCCTCTAGCGGCTGTCAACGAGACAGCCACTAGAGAATTTGAGGGCTGGATTAACCCATTCATAAACATAGCAGTTTCTCTGAAACTGCTATGTTTATAAAAAAATGGGTTAACCCTAGCTGGACCTGGCACCCAGACCACTTCATTAAGCTGAAGTGGTCTGGGTGCCTAGAGTGGTCCTTTACGAACAGAGGAGAACAAAAATGACTGCGTCCAAATAGTGAGACAGGGCCGATAGAAGGAAGCAAAACAAAATTGGTATAGTTACTGTAACACTATTCGTCCACAACTTCCTGGTTGTCATTTGATTAGAATGCATTACTTGACAAGATCATGCACATTTATATCCACCTTTAATAAACAGACATTCTTATGATCATAAGTTTTATTCCATGGGTTTTAAAACGGCTATTGTCCCATGATCATATCTGGTCTGAAACGGAAAGTTAATGCTCATGCAGCACTTTTACCCGTGGGAAAAACATTTTGCTTTTAGAATAGCAAGCCGTAATCATTTTATGTTATTGTTATTTATTTTAATATATTTTCAATAAGCTCTGCACACGTAATATAAATATTGATGCATCCTGGAACAAAATAGATGATATTTTAACTGATACAGAAGAAAACCAAAACACACGTTTGTGAGCAGCCTGAATCCAATTCAGAATTGAATAGGCACACATATATAAGGCATTAAAGAACTAAAATAATCCTTACTGCAAAGGCCCTCAAAAATGGTTATGTTTAGAACATGCTATTTGAATACAGATCTGAACCCATTTGCCACGAGTTTGTCTTTACTGTTGAAATAGTTTTCTGAGAGTTAAAAAAATGAGGTACCACCATCTGCAGATGCAGTACGAGTCGCGGATGCACTGGTATCCTCCACCCTCCTGACTGCACAAACGTTTCCCCAACTTCTCCCCGATTGTTAAAGTTGTCAGTGTGCACAGGCAACTTCGTATAACATTTGGTGTAATGCCCCTCCAGATCTAAAGCTTTTGGTCTTACATGTTTTTCCTGCTACAGTCAGTAGGGAATGTTCATGTTCTGAAATCTGCTGGAGTACATTTTGCAATTTATCCCAAACTGGGCAACTTAAATTCAGTGGGACCTCTTGATTAGGTCTCCTCCTACATCGATATTTATTGAGCCATCCCTCAATGACTTACACTTGTAGGTGCCCATAGAAACTGCACATTGAAGGTTCACTGTAACAAGGAAGTGCAGTGGTTTTGCCATGCATACCCATTCAGTAACTATGTTCTGTGCCTTGACATGATGATTTTTCCTAGGTTTGGTGTCATGGGGTTGGGATGTCAGTGCAAGGTACACCATGTTATGCATACTAGGTTTGCATAATACCACTTGATAGCTGGATACTATTTATCATCAACTACACTGCTGTTGCTGCAGTCTTGACTACGCATACTGTGAGATGTGTATGCCAAATTTATTGAAATGTATTACAAAAAAAAAAAAAAAAATGTGGGGCACCAATAAGGCTTTATTACCAATGTATAGGTTTACAGAAGGGGTGTGACAGGTCATAAAGGGGACAGTTATATTTAGACATTGTGTCTTTAAACTTCTGCTTTCCTTTAGATGAGGCTCTGATCATACGGACTCCAATTGGAATTAAAGGGATTCTATGGTGTTAGAAATACAAAGCTGTATTCCTAACACTATACCAGACGACACTATTTTTACACACATGCAACAATGTAACTGGTAATCTTCATCTCCACAATGGGGAAAATAAAGAAAATATATATATATTTTTTTATTTTTTATTTTTAAAAAGGAGCACCCCAATGTACCTGTTATGTGGCTACATATTTTCCCCTACTAGCCTACCTTCTATGGCAGGGGTAGTCAACCTTTTACTACCTACCACCCACTAATGTATCTTTCTTGATGGAAAAATGTCCTTACCGCCCACCAGTTTTCGTGCAGATGCAGAATATTTTTTAGAAAGGAGTGTGTTAAAAAGAAAAATTAAAAGAATGTATGTACATTTATCTTTTTATTTCTACTTTATGCATGTTTGTAATGTTTTTAACTTTATAAAGTTTAATGAGAAAACAAAGTAAATTGAAATTACCTTTACTAGTGATTAATGAGATCCTTGAGGCTGATGCTGCGAGACTAAATATTTGATATCTGGTTAGATTTTCGTAAGGAACAAATGAAGGTCTCCTCTTTTGGTGATATTCAGATGATTTCTCTGTTTGCTCACAATATGATTTTTTTTCATCCGTGCATCAGCTCCCCTCCTCTCCCTCCTCAATTTCACCCCCCTCCTTTTTTTCTATTTGTTTACCTTCCTTATAGCAATGCCCAGCAGGAAAGCTGAGCTAGGTTGCCCACAACAATTCTCTCCTTCTTTCTCCTATTCTACAAGTACTCTGCTCCTTCTTTCTCCTATTTTCCAAGTACTCCACTACCTGCTATCGTGTATCCCCCTACCTACTCCAACTCCTCCCCTTCCTCTACCCGCATGTTACACTCCTTCACAAACGTACGCGTTCGTGCGATATGGGCGCACATGTGCGTTCAGGGACACACACTTGCGCTTTCATGCACTCGCATCTGCAACCTCGCACTTCCTGCTTACCATCTCTCTGAATGAACACTCTGGAATCCTAAAACGCCCACTGGTGGGCGGTAGGGACCAGGTTGACAATCCATGCTCTATGGAGTCAGTGTGAAAGTGATGGAGCTTGGGCACCCAAAACAAAGTAAACCAAGTGCAAGACAAATCCCTAGCACCATAACTGAATAAATCTTTAGTGGTTATGGTGTGTTCACTGTCTCTTTAAGTCCAAGATTGTGTGCTAAATGCTCCTTGGTGAGAAAAATGTTTTTGTTTTTAAAAAAAAAATAGATTATAAATATTCCTAGCAGAACAATAAGCAGACAATCTGTTCTGGATATTGCCACTTCCTGAGTGGAAGGAGTAAATGCAACCAAGGACAGAAGAGACATTGTCATTAATTAAAAATGATTTATAGTCAGTATGGTGGTGATAAGAGAAGGGAGGAAAATGGTTAGTTCGCTGACCCCAAATTCTTCATTTCTGAGATCCTAATAGAATATTTTGTTAGCTCTCTTTACAAACCCTATTTAGGAATACCAAAAAGGTTTTGTTTCCTGCTGCCCTCTTCCCAACAGATGTTTTCAATTACTTAAAATAAAAATAAATACATTTCTGACAGCTAAAATACCAAAACAGAATCTGACAATTTACAGTTATATAGTTACTTCTAATTAATGGGCAAACAAACAGAATATTATGCGGTGTTTAATGTGAACAATTACTATATTACCATTGTGAGATACGGTACAAAAACCAATCTCAAACATGTTTTGGAAAGTAGAAAAAACAACTCCATTACTAGAGAACATTTGGTCATAAAGGATGGTTTTATGTATACCTATGAATTTTCTATGGAATGATTTGGTTTTACACAAACAAAAAAAAGGCAAAAATAGTTAAGCTGGAAAAATTCTCCCAGCCAGCTATGCTGCTTCTAGTGTGGTTACTTTGACCTTAAATTTGAAATACAATTTTAATCACTTTGAATTCCAACAATTCTCACTTTGTTGACGAACACCGGTATTTCTCTTAAAACATCATACTAGCATAATATTTATTAACATGAAGGCAAAGTGTTTGAAAAGCTAATTTGCAAAAATAAAACAGTGAGCTCTACTGCCCCGTTAACATCTGGTCACTTACATCTCCCAAAGATAAGTCCTAGCATGCATCTCAGCTTGTTCTAGACAGACTTCATTTTCCATATGTTTTATATGGGTGCTCTAAAACACCTCAAGATAATAGTTTTCACAGAGAATTGTTATCAGAGCATCACATTTCCACTTGTAAATTGGGAACAGGTGAATTATTAACCCTGATGGTTATACCTTAAGTGCAGACCCTGAGAATGGCATCAAACAAACTCAAACCAGTACAGTATACCAATGGGCCACTCTGTAGTGATACGTATCATCACATCTTCACAGTATGAAATGTACGTAAGCAGCATCTATCATGAGCAATTATTACAAAAAAAGCAAGGGTAAGTAACGGGGACTGTATTCGTTACGGCATTTAAAGGAAGTAATTACAATATGCTGTAGTAACTGTGGTGCTTAGAGCGAGTCTTTAAAAGGACACCTATGGGGAGCATTTGATTGGCTGAGATCATCAGTTATGGTGATCTCATACAAGAGATGGAAAGCTGCCATAGAGAGGGACAGAAGGAGAGTAATTCTTTAATGGATAGTTAAAGAGATAAATATAAATAGGAGTAGTCTCATCTCTAAAATTAGAAACAGAGGTGTATTTCTAAAGTCAGAGTGCCCGTTTAATGTGTGTTGGTGACTAGAGTGTGCCTAGAATATAATATGTAAACATTCAAAATCATTTAGAGCAATATTCAGGAGCTGCTATTTATTATTATTCAGCCTTGTTAAATTTACAATGTGGAAAACGAGAATGATTCTAAGTCACTAGTGAAGCCAGTTTAAAGTGTTTGTATTCATAAAAAAACATTTACGCATCTATAAAAGGGGTCAACATAAGTGGCGTTAAACTTTTTAATGGGGAAAGCCACATCTCATTCAAAGTATAGGTTGCGTCCTATTAAATCAAAGTTAGAAAAAAGCAACATGTTTGTAAGTTTGCTTCCCCCTCAACTGGTGCAGAAATGAGTACAGGAAAATTAGAATGACTTTATTATTTGACCCCTTAAAGAACCAAGCTTAATTTGTTTGTTTTTCACTTAAAGACCAAAGCAATTATTTGCTCTGTTTGTTAAACTGCAATTTCCATCTTTCTTATTTACTGCATCATCACATTATATACTTGCCTTTAAAAGGGACAAAAAAGGGCTTTAATGTAGGGCTTGACACATTTGAATCTTAGAACCTAAGAGCCAGCTAAAAAAAAAAAAAGGAGGTCACTATAGTCACCAGAACCACTACAACTTAATGTAGTGGTTCTGGTGTCCAAAGCCTGTTCCAACAGGCTTTTCAATGTGAACCCTGCCTTTTCAGACATAAGGCAGTGTTTACATTGCTGTCTAGTAACACCTCCAGAGGCACTCACATGGCCACAAGAGGTGCTTTTTAATCTAGTGCTGCAGTGTGCAGCACCTACCTTCATCGTCTCCACACCCTGCATGGATGCACTAAATGTTCCTTATAGAGATGCATTGATTCAATAAATCTCTGTTAGGAGATGCTCATTGGTGCCTCTCAATGCTTTGCCATTGCAAATCATTGACTTGACGTAGATCATCAAAGTTGATTATATCAGCCATGGAGATAGGGCCAGCCACAGCAGGACTTTCACGGAGTGGGAAATGGAGAGAGTAAAATAAAGAAACAAAAAAAAAAACCAAAAAAAAAAAACACACACCTTTCCCATATGACCGGGGGGATTTTTTTTACTGTAGTAAAATTGCTTTTTGCGGATTACTAACACACACATATAAAAAGGTTTTTACTTAAGTATTTTGTAAATCTAATGTGAGCTACTACTGTAAAAAACTATATATTGTGTTCAGCTACATTTTCTGAGTATAACAATACACCCAATTTATGCTTTTGCCACTATCTAGTGAAGCAACAGTGCCATATAAGAGACCTAACTCAAGCAGGGAGGGGGAAGGAAATGACCACAGAATAAAATGAAATTCACACAAAAACATTGGCCACAGCAAGTGGCTAATAACTATTATAAAAACAGGGCCATTAACCAATGCATAACAAACTGGGTAATATATGCCTTTCATACGCTTACTTAAAGAGGAATGGTCAGGATTTTGAAATAGTATGTTTACCCAGAGGTGTACCTAGAGAATATGGCATTCGAGGCGAAATGGTGTTGTCATCCCCTTCCACAGATTTTACATTTTTTGTGTCCCTCTAGCCCAGACCTCTCATGAGTCTCTTCAGCACACCTTACCAACTCATGTATGCCTGTGCATCCCCTAGAGATGCACAAGGCAGTGGGGGAATTGCTGAAGAAATGCACAAGGCAATGAAGGAATGGCTGAAAACATGCACATCTCGAGTTCCACTCATCATAGGTTACATTATTTGGTTCATCACCACTCTTCTTTTATTTATTTATTTACTGACTCTACTCAAAACGGAACAGCCAAAGTTAAAAAAAATAAAATAAAAAAAAAATAAAAAAAAATAAAGCTTCAGGCACTTCCTGTGTTCCAAGAAAAACTATTTATTGAACCACCATGTGCACAGCAACGTTTCGACCTTTACCAAGGTCTTTGTCAAGCTGTTTTTCTTGGAACACAGTGAGTGCCTGGGGCTTTTTTCTTTGTGATAGATCATCTATATGGGTTGTGCTGACCCTTGTGCTGTGTGGATGAGTACAATCCCTCCTCTTTTTTAGTGAGTATAGATAAAGAATGCGCCTGGATGCGAGATCCAACACAAGCACTTTAGTAGTGTAGGATGAAACGGCAGATGCACAAAATCTGATGTTTGGTATATATGTCTGGTATAAGATACAAGCCAGAGAGAAGTATAGTGCTAGGATTTGTATTCCTAGCACTATAGTATCCCTTTATGCCTGTGCCAGAAATATTCCTATTACCACCAAGGAATACTATTCCTATTACCGCCAAGGGTCCTTCCAGTGATGTTATCTGGCTAATTTCTACAATTTAAAATAAATTCTACCTTGCCATTACATACAATATTTTAAATGTAATAAAGGATAGTTATGTTTTAGCAAGAGTTAAAATAAAGTATTGGAAACACTCACAGAAATATTTTGTTTTGCAGCAAATGCCCTGTAACATTCTGTTATCTTTGTAACAAGCACCGAAATAATTTGGCATGAGACCAAGTCATACAACAACTATTTCACACAGGATCACATTTAAAGTGGACTTTATGTCCACACATCATATTGCTCAAACAATGTGCTTGCCAAATCACCAAACATACACATTACCATTAACGAGAAATTCCAGGTTAGAAATAACCCTACTTTTTAATACATTTTAGATATCTCATCAGCAGCAGATAGGGCTATTTGGGTGCTGGGAAAATGCACTTAAAAATGGCTGGACATGAAAACAAAATTTGTTGGAGGTGCTATCCAAATGCCCCATGCATCATAACTAATAGGTCGGTAGAGGTTATAGAGCTAAGGATGTCCCTTTAATACACAAAATGGCAACAGCACACACAACAATAACATAAAAACTATGTAGAAATTGTGCTCACCCCTGACTAGGAGTTTAAGGAAACAGCCAAGTAAGCCTACTGCTGGCACAGTTCTCAATTATTTGTCAAGATAATAATGAAACATGCAAAAAAGAGTATGTATAAAGATGGCCTTTGGGGAGGCTCATAAGAATGGATAGCAAGCCTCTTTTTTTTTTTCTTCCTATGGATCAATGAAGCATATCATGAATAGCTTTGTAGCTCTGGGATACGGCGTTTTGAACAATGTTTCTGTTATGAGTATATTAATGGGGTGTTTATCATACCAGCTCCTGCTTGCTTTGTAATCACCACTTAAATGAATTAATCAACCGGAGGAAATCTCACTGATGAATATATGCATTAATGTACCAGTATTTTGTGGGAGAAACTAAAGTATATTCATTAGAGGCACTAGGCACCAAAATAATTGGCACCCCTCGCCATGTACTAGCTAACATGGCTTTTTAACAGTTTCTGTACAATGAAGAAGTATATTGTACAGTATATTGAGCGGTTACTAGAAAAGTCCAGGCCTTTTTTTTTTATTATTTGAATAACATAAAAAGGGACAAGACATGATCTTATATTAAAATAATTTACTTCTGCCATTTCCTTTCAATTACTATAGAATAAAAAAAAAAAAATTCTAGACAAATAGATATGTCAGTATAGGAATAGATTTTATAAAAGAGATGTTTAAAAAAAAAAAAAATTAGGGATACTAAAACGTGTTTAAAAGTGGTATTATGTGGTTTTGTATTTTTCATCATGGTTTCTTAATTGACCTCAGTAACCAGAAGTCATAAAACACTGACAATGTTTTGCTGTACAAACTAAGAAGAAAAGTCTTTAAAAGCAGTTAGGGGGCACCCCAGTCTGGAGGTAACAGTTCTTAATGTACTGGTGATTCTTCCATTAACGTAAAGGTGATTTAATTCCAAGAAAGCAAGTTGTGGCCATTTAAAGGCTTAATGAAGTGGTCTGGGTGCCAGGTCCATCTAGGATTAACCCTGCCTGCTGTAAACATAGCAGTTTCAGATAAACTATGTTTACATATGGGTTAATCCAGCCTCTAGTGGCTGTCTCATTGACAGCCACTAGAGGCGCTTCCATGCTTCTCATTGATTTTCACAGTGAGAAGACGCCAGCGTCCATAGGAAAGCATTGAGAATGCTTACCTTTGGACTGACGGCACGCGCGGCTCTTGCTGCGCAATGCGCATTCAGCCGATGACGACCAAAGGAGGAGGAGAGTCCCCAGCGCCGAGGGAGCCCGGCGCTGGAGAAAGGTAAGATTTTAACCCCTCCCTCCCCCTTCAGCCGAGGGGGATGGGGACCCAGAGGGTGAGGGCACTATAGTGCCAGAAAAACGAGTTTGTTTTCCGGGCACTATAGTGATCCTTTAAGTGTTCTTGGAAAACTACGAAAGGCAAAGATTTATATGATAAAGGCTCTATACACTATCTATTATTGCAGCAGGAAGGGGAAGAATGAGAGTATGGGAGGCAGGGCCACCTTATACGTACGGGACCTGATACATATTATGCATATACACATAGTATGTGTAATAAATATATATATAAAAATCTAATAAAACATGATCAGTATTTTAGAACTAACATTATGGTTATTGAGGTCAACTAAGAGACCGATAGATCTCATTAGCAGACCCTGCTTGCGTCTCTAAAAAAAAAATAAAAAAAAGAAGGGGCCCAGCAGAAGTTCAATCACCGTCATTGTCCTCTTGCAAGCAATGAGAACATTGCTCCGTGCGGCATGCAATGCAGAAAATAAGAAGAGGACCTGATGCATGGCTGAAGGACGAAGAAGACAGAGACTCCTGAGCATCCCTTTTAGTCTACAACCTGATGTGCCACAGGATTAACAGGGAATCTAGTGTCCCACTGTACTGGCCACAGATAAGAGGCAGGGCGAGGGGTATAAATGTACTTTATTATAAATAAAAAACAAATAACTGCTTACCCACACAGCCCCTGTCCAACACCACTAACACACACACACACACACACTGCATTTGCTATACTTATGGGTGGAATCGGGAATGGGCCCTGTAGGTGGACTTGTGGGCCAAAGCCTTGAGCTATGTAAGTGGCCTTAATAAAAGATGGTAGCCCTGATGGGAGGGCAGATATGAATAAATAACAGGGAAAACAGATGTGGGGTGCCAGAAGGATCCCTTTAAAGCAGATTAACCTCACGGTGTGTAATAGATGGTATGCATCTGGTTTAGTAAGTATTTTGATCTGTATCCGACAAGGGAAACATGTTATTTATTAAAGCATTATATATATTTAAAGGATCTATGGAGCCATACACGTGCTTTTTTTTGTTGTTTATTTAGAGCGTTAATGTAAATGTGGTACATTTTGACTTAAAGTCATCATAAAAAAAATGAATTGTCAAACAAAGCTTTCATAGATTTCCTCTGTACAGGGTGTAAAAATCCAGCTTACTACCATAAGAGGAAAGGGTGGGCGCAGTTCCCTCTGATGAAAATCCAATCTGTAGGAAGGTTTTATGTACAATAGGAAGTCAATTTTTCCCATAGGAGATGCGTAAATATACTAAATGGATTTAGGGCCTCATGGACCTAGAGCTGTAAATTTGAGGACCTAATGAGGGAAGTGGAATTTACGTATCAATTGCACAGTAGCCGTTGGTAAGTATATTTTTGTGTTAACAATGGACCTCGAGACAAGCGGGAAAAAAAAAAAAAAAAAAAAGGGAACAAGCATACATGTGGTCCAAGTGCAGGTTTATTTAAATAAATAGCAGCTTTTCAGCCCTATAAAGGGTTTTTTATCAAGTCTAACAAGCAGTTAAGATCACCAAAAAATTACAGCAATAATCACAAGAAATGTAGCACTATGTCAACACATAGTATATGGGGAGGATGCGCAGAACGTTACCAGGGGCACGAGACCAAAAAATAAATAAATTAAAAAGCAGATCGTAGAAGAAGATGCATAAATGAAAAACATTGTTTACATGTGTTTCAAAGTCGCAAACACAAAAAGAACAAGAAAAATGATTCACGTGTGAAATTACTACAATGTCTAGCGGTTATTTCACATGTGAAATGTTTGGTAAATAATCCTGCATATTCGGTTTGATATAGGCCTTTAAAAAGCTGAATTGTTGCTGTTCATAGCATTTATCTTCCATTTAATTGGTTTGTGCATTACATGTGAGGTAGCAAATACAACACTGATCAATGTTGAATCTTCATTCTCTCTAATTGAGGACTGCAATATAAGGTCTTAAAGCTGTGCATCACAATACCATGGAAAAGTAGCTACAAAATTCTGGAATCCACTACTTAAATAAAAAAAACTTGCATAAGCATTTAATTAAGCACTGACACTAAATGTCCTTCATATAAAACAGCCAAGGATCAACGCATTTCATATAAAAAGTTATGCAACAGGAAACACAGGCACCAAGCAAAGTACAGACGGGGTATTATACAGTGACTGGCAAGCAATTTATAAATTATGAATGGAGCTTGGAACATGTGGGGAAAAAAACTGAACAGCTTCTTCAAATCCATCCCTCCCAGTCCCTAAGCAGAACAGATCATTTTTTTATAGTGACAAATTATATATTTAATTGACTTATGAGCAGTTATATTTGAAGGTCCATTTTACCACCACCCACAGGCTCCCCCTTTCTCCTGTCCCTTTCTGATGCAATTAGCCATACCTGTGGGCACTAATCCAAGCACACAGATACTACGTAGTAATGCTGATCCTGTGGGAAGGTTTTCCTGCTCTCTTCTGTCACTGAACCCTTGGCATAGTTGATTAAGGGGTCAAATGTTTTAGTGGCTTTTAAAAACTACCAAAATGCCATAATTTGTGTGTACCATCAAATGTATTCTTTGCATACCTTAGATTCAAAATTCATACTAAATATTGTACTGGCGGATTTGTTAATCTAGTTTACTATGGTTGTTTTTGTCATTTTCTAATTTATATGTTGAAGACATAGATGTAATCCTTGCACTGAATGCCATCCAAACACAGACAGAATTGATATAACTAACACAGAAGTGACATTTCCACAATAGTAATAAGCCAAGTAATGTGATTTACCATAGCTGACCTTTGGTTTGTGTCAAACAGCTCAAAAACATGCTGTAGTAGTTATGGTGATTAGCTTGCCCATTTAGCAGCTACTCAGTTCTCTGGTCTTTGTCCTAAAGTACAGAAACCAGTGACCCGGCATCAGAATGATGGGAAGAAACCGTACATGTGCACTACAGTTACCATAACCTGACTTGCCTCACCTCACTGAGTACAATTGGAGTTATTGGACAAAACCACAAGGCTCTCAGGAGGACAATCCAGCTTTATATCAATTATATATTAATACAGAACGAATAATGTATTTTTTCATTCTAATTAATCTGTTTTTGCACAACAGGCTTCCCAATCAGAACCCCACAAAACAGTATCAATGGCAAAATAGCAGACTCACTCAGACTAGAAAGATCAAAGTTAAGGAGCAAGGCTGTAGTTAAGCAATTTCCTCAGAATAGCCTCCTCCTTGGAAAGTGAAGTTGTGCAGGGGTGAGCAATATATGCATGCACTCTCAGGGTGATTTTCCACCCAACTCTTAACTATTTGGAGTCTGTGACCTTATTCAGGAATTCTCTGTGTACCCACAAAGCTTGGGATCTGAATAAAGATAGTTGTGAAGGTATACATTTATCAGGGCTTAACTGACACTGGCCCTCTCGAAAAGAGAAAGTAAACCACAAAATCTAAATAAAAATAAAAAAATACACACAACACATTGTGTTCTGCAGCATTTTCCACAGCATATTTATCAAAACGAATGAGCTTAGATCAAGCTGTAAAATGCCTGCACGTTTACTTTTTTGCCTGTGCAAAGGCAAGCATGTTTATTTTGGCACTCTACTGGTATTTTGAACAGGTTAGGGAACGGGGCAGCAGAATATTCATCAAGACTCTGACTTTATAAGAAAAATTTATTAAATGCACGGCTTAAATAAAGAAAAAAAATGAGAGCCATCTGATGCTCTAAAGAAAATAAAAATTTCACTTTTAAAAACAGTATTACAAGGGAAGAAAACAAAAATCAGCTGGACAAGAACAGCAGCCTGTTGTAGAAAATAAACTATTTTTGATAATGAGTAGAATGTTACATCAAAATAAAGAGAGATTTGACAAGAAACCAACAAAAAAAATCTACCTCCTGCACTATATAATTCTGCTAACCTCATACCATCAAGAGGTATGCAGAAACAAGTCATAGTTAAACATTTTAAAGTATTGCAGAGACAATTTGTAAAACAGTGATTACTCGTTTCAATGGCTACATATCATAAGTGTATTTTCATACATAGACCTAAAAATAACCAATTTACATACTTCTAAGTGCCAATGGAAACCTTGAGATTTTTCAAATAGGAGTAGTAAGAGTAAGCAGGGCTGGCTATATATATTAAAAATGTATTTAAAGGAACACTATAGGGTCAGGAACACAAAGGTGTATTCATGGCCCTATAGTGTTAAAAACATGCAACCCCCCCTGTCCTCCTTAAATATTTAGAAAACTCATCTTACTACCAATGACCCTCAGTCCGCTGGCCCCGCCCTCAATCTACCTCCTTGGTTGAAAACCGAATTATCTCAGCCAATCACAATGCTTTCCCTTAGGATTGGCTAAAACCGTCAATTCTGATGATCTTAACCAAGGAGGCAAAGGGGCAGAGTCAAACACCACCCTGGCCAATTTGCATGTCCTTATAGAGATGCTGAACGCCAGTGCAGCATTGACCCAGGAAGCACATCTAGTGGCCACTCCACAGACAGCCACTAGAGGTGTTCCTAAGCTGCAAAGTAAACGCTGCCTTTTTTCGTGTTGACAGCAAAAAGCCTGCAGGGACAGGCTACAGGCACCAGAACAACTACATTGCTTTGTAGTTTTGGAGACTATAGTGTCCCTTTACGATAACCTTAGTTTTTGCTTCATTTTCACTTTAAAACAATGATTTGAAACTGATCATTTGTAAATCAGGATTAATACATTAGTGTTTTTAAAGCAGACCAATAGCAAAGGCCAAAATAACAGAATTTAACAAAAATCTATAAATCAGCTATGTTTCCAGTATAGCTGTGTGGCCTGAAATTTGACATTCACTAGGAGACAATTCGCACTTTAGCGATTTATCCAGACTATGTTAAAAAAAAAAAAGGCACTAAATCCGCTTATACAAAGATTTGTGCACAAAGGTGTCAAACATGTTAGAATATGAAGAAAATGTTGCTGAAAGACACTTGACTAGTAACTAGAGATGAACAAATGTTTAGCAAGTAAAATTTAAATTGTTAATATTAAAATAAATATTTTGGTTTAATGATAAAGTCTGATAAACTGTCTGAGACGCTGCAATATCTTCCCAGATTTGCTTAGGGAAACTCTAAATTAACCACAATTAAATAAACGGAACTAATGAAAGCTCAATGCCAGACCTTGGTTGTGGGGTCTCCGCATTAGACAAGTTTACTTCACAGCGAAGTTACAAGGCAACAACCAAAATAGTGGAATTGGGAAAATGACCTCCAGCTCAGCTTTCCCCGGATCCTCCATTTTGCAAATAAATGTAATTTCACTTTTTAGTAATTAAACCCTTTAGCAAACAACTCTTGTTTATGATTTCACATATAAATACAGACAAAGATGAGAACAAAAGAGTTAATGAGTGTTAAAGGGCAAAAATGAAAATGCTGAAGGCAAATTTAAAGCCACTTGTAACATATGTATAATAAAACTATGCTTATTAAAGATCGCATCAATTTTAGTATATGATAGTGAATGAGAATTTTCTAGTCCATCCAAATTAACATTATGCCAACATACAAATAAATAATCTGAAATACCAACAGTAGTTAGAAAACTGGCACTTATATTTTGCTTTGCTATTAAATGCAAGAAAGGAATTACAATCAGGATATAATATATATATATATATACACACACATATATACACATATATATATATATATATATATATATATATATATATACACACACACACACATACACACACACACACACACACACACACACAATTCTAGAATACATAAATGATTTGAGAATATGCTCAATTCCGGAGAACTATTGTGATCATACTTGCACTCCATAAGGGTGTCTTAATCAAGGTCATTTGTGGCTTAAAAGTTCACAAAACCTTAACCATGTGTTACTAAATTGAAATGTGTGCCCTAGGGCATGAGCAGAGCACATTCTGCAGTGCAGGGATATGCTGCATTTAAACATAATCAAATTAACTGTAGTGTATTATTCCTTGGGTTGGTAAAATAGCATTTTTTCCCCAATTACCATTACAAAAATTGGTTTTAACATTTTCTAGATCTATAAAAAAAAAAAATAAAAAAATTTAGCATAATTAAACTGAAAATAAACACAAAGAAATGAACATTTACCATACTATAAAAATTTTTGAAGCTCTTGCAGAAAAAGTAAATACACTTTAATACTAACAAAATAGAAGTATAAAGTTATTTTTTCTAAGTATGATTAAATATTGCTGGACTTCGCATAAATGCTGCCTTTAAGTAATATGTAATACAGGGTATAGAAGTATAAAATCAGGATTATTCACTAAAGTGAGAATAGTCAGGAATGCAAAGTGAATTTCAAATTTAAGTCCAAAGTAGCCCAACTGGAAACATAGCTGATAGAGAAATTTTCAAATTTAGCTATTTTTTCCATATATTTGAAATTCACCTTTAATTGATTTTGGATTCTGGCAAAACTCCCTCTAGTGAATAAACGGTTTTATTTCCCACGTACTGATTTCCTGGGGGTTATATATACGTATATACAAGCTAAATATTCCTCCCTGTACAGTCCCAGCTGAAGTACTAGTTTTATTGCATAGATAAACTACATGTACTGTACCCTTGCATTGTCCAAGCGTTATTGTAGATAGCACTAAAATCAAATCATTGTATAGTATCACATTGATCACTGAATACAGATCCTTATACACTCTCAATGTTATTACTTACATGAGTACATAATGCCAACTATAAATTGTCCCTACATTTTTATACATATTATTAAATACTGCTCGCGGTATATTCCCAATAAATATTGATTATAGCATAGTCCTACCCTTATCAATACATACTGTCCATATTGTAGATGGAGTGTTATTACATTGATCATTAGATACTTCTCACATTATAGATAGTAATGACAGATTACTTAATATACTGTCCCTTGTACAGACAGAGTTATTATCCAGAGATTAGTAAACATGCAGCTCCTTGGACAGGCCCAATGTTGTCACACATAGTGTTGTTACACACAGATTATTAGTAAATATACGGTTATAAGGACCATCCCAATGCTATGACATGCAGATTATTAGTAAATATACGGTTATATAGACCATTATGCTATGACATGCAGATTATTAATAAATATATGGTTATATGGACCATCCCAATGCTATGACATGCAGATTATTAGTAAATATACGGTTATATGGACCATCCCAATGCTATGACATGCAGATTATTAGTAAATATACGGTTATATGGACCATCCCAATGCTATGACATGCAGATTATTAGTAAATATATACAGTTATATGGACCATCCCAATGCTATGACATGCAGATTATTAATAAATATACGGTTATATAGACCATTCCAATGCTATGACATGCATTTTATTAATAAATATATGGTTATATGGACCATCCCAATGCTATGACACGCAGATTATTAGTAAATATACGGTTATATGGACCATCCCATTGCTGTGACACGCAGATTATTAGTAAATATACGGTTATATGGACCATCCCAATGCTATGTCATGCAGATTATTAATAAATATAATGCTCTGTGTATAGTCCCAGGGTTATTACACGCAGAATATTATTAACGATACTGACTCATGGACAGTCCTGTTCTAGTATTAATACACATATTCCTAGTGAATATACTTCTATATTGACAGTCCCAGAATTATTATATATATGTTATGAGTAAATATCCTGCTTCATGGAGAATCCTTGTGTTATTACGCAGATTATTAGTAAATATACTGCTCCATGGAGAGTCCTAGTATCTTACACACAGAATATATTAGTAAATATACTGTTATACAGACAGATCCAGTGTTATTACACAGATTATTGGTAAATATACTGTTATACTGATAGTCCCAGTGTTATTACACAGATTATTGGTAAATATACTGTTATACAGACAGTCCCAGTGTTATTACAAAGAATATTAGCAAATATACTGTTAATACACACAGACTATTAATAAATATATTGCTATGCAGACAATACTAGTGTTATTACACAGATTATTAGTAAATGTTGCGGGTTCACCCACTCACCCATAGTAACCAGCTGTTTATTGAGCTCCCACACATGGGGGGCTTTTTATAGAACATGGAGCAAATATCCCAGGCAGCCCCCCCACATAAAATGCTGCCCCCCCTTTACAACGCTCCACCCCACCCCCAATACATTGCTCCCCCTTTTCCATACCGTGTCCTGCCCTCTTACACAATGCCATGCCCCAGTCCCCGGTCCCATACCATGCCCCCCCCCATGTCCCATACCCCCGGTCCCATACCATGCCCCCCAGTGCCATACCATGTAGCCCCTCCATGTCCCATGCCCCCCTCCCCGGTCCCATACCATGTCCTCCCCCCCCATACCATGTCCCCACCATGTCCCCGTCCCATCCCATGCCCCCAGTCCCCGGTCCCATACCATGCCCCCAGTGCCATACCATGTAGCCCCCCCCCATGTCCCATACCCCCAGGTCCCATACCATGCCCCAGTGCCATACCATGTAGCCCATCCATGTCCTCCCTCCCCGGTCCCATTGCCCCCTCCCATGTCCCATACCCCATACCATGTCCCCACCATGCCCCCCAGTCCCATACCATGTCCCTCCCCGGTCCCCGATAATCACACAGTAATCCCTCTCACACAGTGCAGCACCGCCCAGGCCTCCCAATCCCCAGCCGCTCTCACACGGTGATCCCCGCTCCCGCTATCCCGGTACCCGCACCGATCACTCACATTGCAGGCTGCTCGGCTCGCTGTCCGCACTGAGTGTGAGTCACCGTCCGCCTGTCCGCCGCACACTCACAACATCCCGGCTCCCAGCTCGCGGGAGGCTCCGTGACGTCACTCCGGAGGGGGGAGGGGGAGGAGGGATTCCTTACAGAGTGAGGAGTGCAGCCCCTGCATGGACTGGAGGAAACTGCACTGACTGGGGACAATGGATGGCTTGTTACTCCCAGGCCAATCAGTGCAACCTGTGTCCCTGTAACCATACCCACCATGTGTCTGTGTGCTGTGCTCACACTATTGTGGTATGTCACAGCCTGACCACAGTGACACCCATCTACTAACCAGGGACCTGTGGTGGACTGACCACAAATTGCAAAATTCTGACCAAAAAACACCAGAAGTTGAGAAGAAGTATGTCTGAGCTCAGCCTCTTTTCCTACAAGTGATATTTAATTCTGCAATATTTTACCAAATTACCACAATCATCTCCTAGTTCATACAGCACTGTGCTTTGGCACCACTCATGCTCTGAAGCTGTGGATGAAAAAATAAAAATGCTTTGCCAGATTCACCATGCTTTCTTCTATGTGTGAAATCCCTACTTGTTATTACCAACTCATGAAAAATGCTTCCTTAGTGTATGCAGACTTCATATGCTACAGGAAGGAAGGCACTGAAAGGTCACCTCAGGGGATGTGCATGCATCTTTGGGTAGATATTTTTCCTCCCCCAAAATGAGTAATTGCCTATGTACCACTTAACCCAACTTTTTCACCTGTTTCTCAATCCTTTGTTCATTTCATGTATATTACCTGTTTTGAGGTATTTTAACCTCTTTTTGTGAATTGTAGCCCCAGGTTTCTGAGCTAGGTTCTGCATGTTGGGGCTCTGATTCCTGACATCCCCATCACTGTATACCTCAATATACAATTTTAAAGCACCCTGAGCTTGTACTTTTGGGAAATTTAATATAACATGAACGCAAAAGGAATTCTTCTTTATACTGTCACACAAAAAGTGCCTAATTCACCAATCAAAACATACCAGCTGTCTGATATAATTTGTATTTTAATACAGTAGTCAATGCTTCCACAGAGTTAAAAGGAGTGGGGTGCATGGAGAAATATGGATGTTTGCCTTTATGGACAGCACAGTCCATTAATTGCTGTTTATCTTCCTTTCTGCTATGTCCTCTGAGTCCTTAAAATGTGAATCAGGCCACTTTCTGTTGGAGCACGTTTATGTAAACTTTAGAGCACTGTGAATATATTTTATCTAACAGTGGTATGTACACACTATATTCTTCCAGGAGTGCCTACTGTACCCTTTTTAAAGTTTTAGTTTTTAGCTCTTTTTCCTCTGTAAGAGTTCTTTCCTGACCGGGGTACTCTTAAGGTTGGCCAACCATCTGTTTACCTGAAGAATTGAACAATTTATGTACAAACCCTTGTTGATTCAACTGGTTGGTAAGAATAACCAAACTGACAAACTGAGTTTCTGTTGCAATTTGACATTTCGTCAGTCTATGGTTTTAAACACAGGGTTTATAAAGCTATAGTTTTAGTAGATCTCTATAAGTGGCACAGGATCAAAATAATTTAAAAAAAAATCCATTAGTAAGTTATCCTTCAACTTCTACCATATATTATTCTTGCCAATTCATTGATGTCATTTATGCTTAACCCCTTAATTGCTGATCACCAAATTAACTCTTAAGACTCTTATATGTTTATTAATTTATCACTGCAACCTTATCACACTGCACCGCAAATATTACGCTCTATATTTAGATAATGGTATCTATGAAAAATCAATTCATGTACAGTTTATTCCTATAGTTTGTTTACAACTAAACTGAAAGCGTCACTGTCGTGCCGAACTTACCTTTCTCCTGTTGATTCCTCTTCTCTTCCTCTCTCAGGATCTATCCTTCTTTTCTTCTTATTCGGATAACTACTTTTATCTCTTTGCAACCTGGCATTGTCTCATATTCACTTGTCATTCAAAATCCTGTCTCTTGTCTTTTCCACCACACCCCATATAGTCATTCTGAACATTTATATTATCCCAATTACTGTATCGCAAAACAATATATTCAGACATTTGTAGAGAGGCACTTTTTTATTTAGCTAAATGTTGGTACACACTATGTTCTTCCTGGAGTGCCTATAGTACCCTTTTTATAGTTTTAATCCCCCCCACCCCCCTTCAGTTCTCCTGTTCCTCCATCACCAACACTTCCCTTAAGCCGTATATCTTTTAACAAGTTTTCCATCTTCTTTATCTTTAATATGTATTAACTGTTAATCACAACTCCTTAAATTGGATCTACCTTCATCATTTACCTTCCTCATTTTTCAAGCACTTGCTTATATGAGTTAAATCAGGATAGGACAATGATTGTTTGATCATTCAGACTGTAAAATTGTAACCTTTCTCATTTTTGCACAGAATTAGCATATAACTACATATACTCTCCCACTTTAATTAAAGCACCATGTCAACGATTCAGAATGGTTCCTCTATACTATATTAGAAGTAATTTCATTCCTCCAGATCAAACCAATTAATTTACCAATTGCTAACTTATAAAAATCAACATGAGACATAAATGTGAATTAATTTAACATTTATTAGGAATATTTTATAGTAATAATATATTAATGTAATGTTGCCATCTCTAATATGGAAATTGAGCATTTAGGGGCCAAGATATACCTTGGAATTTTGGATATTAATACAAATTTGGCCAGGAAACAGCCAAGATATGACGTACCTCTGGACTCACGGAGAGTCATCCTTCAGCACTCAGGAAAGGAAAAACCTCCTGTGGAGGAAACCTCTGGGAAACCATGGCTTGAAGGACTGCCTTTCCCTCTAGGCATTAGGAGGCAAATACAGAGAATTTAATGGAAGCGGGGCTTAATCTTTTATAAACTGTTTAACTTGGCAGGGAGAATGAGAGACATATAGGCAGATTGACAGACACAGATAAACAGATAGACAGACAGATAGATAGATAGACGATGATAGAGAGATAGAGAGATAGCTAGATAGATAGAGAGATAGAGAAATAGATGATGATAGAGAGATAGATAGATCGAGAGATAGATAGATAGAGAAATAGAGAGATAGATAGAGAGATAGATAGATAGACGATAAGAAATAGATAGAGATATATATATATATATAGAGAGAGAGAGAGATGATAGAGAGATAGATAGATAGAGAGATAGATAGACGATGAGAGATATATAGAGAGATAGATAGATAGATAGATAGATAGATAGATAGAGCAGATTAATACCGATACCTGGAAAAAAGCTGTACAATTAACAATTCCCTTCCTTCCCTATTTGCAATCCGCCCAACCCAGCGGAATGGCTATGTGAGAAAAGTGAAACATCACAAAATATACTGCTCCCTGCTAGAACCTCCATTGATGAGATTAGATCGAGGGTAGTCAAGCTTGAAATCTTCAGACACATCCAAGTGAGGCATAGGTCTCTCTATATGTTTAAGAAGTTACAGCAGCAGTTATGTTTATGACATCACAGCATGTCATCACCTATTATGATTTAACACTAAGGATCATAGTTCCTGATGTGGCTATTTATTATTATTATTATTATTATTAAGGGGAACTATGATAAACACGTAGAAAATAAATCTAACTAATCTATATATATATTTTTATGAATCTAAAAGTAAAGTTAATCCTTTTTTATTTTGCACCTTTTGTCCACCTTAGAAATAATATGTTTTATTAGTATATCGACTTTCATCTAATTCCAACCTGGCATTAGCTCATATTCAGTTGTCATTCAAAAACCTTTTTCTTGTCTTTTCCACCCCACCCCATATAGTCATTCTGAACATTTACATTACCCACCCTCCCCCCATTACTATATCTCAAAATGGTATATTCAGAAATTTGTAGGGAGTTAAAGGGACACTATTGTCACCAGAACAACTACAGCCAATTGAATTTGTTCTGGTGAGTAGAATCATTACCTTCAGGCTTTTTGCTGTAAACACTGTCTTTTCAGAGAAAATGCAGTGTTTACATTACAGCCTAGTGATAGCTCCACTGGCCACTTCTTAGATGGTTGCTAAAGCTGCTTCTTTGGGCAGTGCTGCAGAGTAAGCAGCACTGCCATTCAGTGTCTCCAGCACTTTCTTCATAGAGATGCATTGATTCAATGCATCTCTATGAGGAGATGCTGATTGGCCAGGGCTGTGTTTGAATTGTGCTGGCTCTGCACCTGATCTGCCTCCTTGACAGTCTCAGCCTATCCAATGGGGAAACATACAAAAATGGAAAAAAAAATAGAACAAATCTATCAAACAGGTACTGAAATCCCATCTACTCAAAATAGCATAATAAAAGGGAAAAAAGCAGATATGTAAATATTCTGAAGATAATAAAGGATTAAACTATATAATAATGACGCCAAGATATATTTTAAAAGATATCTCTACCAACAGCAATATTGACATACTCTGGGATTTTATGCTGTAAATGTTAGATATGAATGGTTATGTGATTAATATTTGATATCTATGGTTCCTAGTGACGCATCTTTAATGGTTTTAACAGCTGTCATTTTGCAATCATTAGACCCACAAATCACCATTTTTTTCAAATTATCAGATAAGAGGTTTAATTATTAAACTGGGGATTTAGGAAAAATTATAAATCAATTGCAAATTTTATGTCAAATCTGTTAAGCTAGAAAACTAGCCAAGACTTTTTTTTTTCAAATATACTTATTTTCACCTAGAAATTGTTTTTTTTTTTTCTTTTTAATTCTCCACACCTGCCAGTTTAGTGAACAAGGCCAAACAGAATATGAAGCAAGAAATGTCAAAATATATACAAATTTAGGCTGAAAATCAAAGCATAGACTTCCTATTTGAAGGCACAGAGGGCATTAATATATTCAATTGTCCTCAATATTCAAAATCACTTTGTCTCATTCTCACACAATATGCCGATTGTAATGCTGATTTAAAGTACCACTCCTCATTTAAAATCTTGAAAAATAAAATAAAAATCACTGCTTAGTAGATATAGACCCCCAGTAAATACATGCATGGGTTTTTCCTACTTGTTTTCATTGGAGGTATATCTTACAAGAACTTTCAAAAGCTGCAATTCTTATGAACTCAAGCTTTGCAGGCCCTCCCCTTACTCCTAGGAGGAGAGTAAAAGTCTCTTTGTAGGAAAAAAGCCTATCAGAGGCTTCTCATTGAGAAGCCTCTAAATCTATGACCCATGCACCTGTTCTGGGCGCACGGACACAATGCACAGCACTCTGAAAGAAATCTGCTCTGATTTGAGGGCTGATAAGGATGTATGCTGTTGGAGGCAGGCCTATGTAGAGTGCACCTTCCACTTCCATTAACTAAGAGGAGCTAACAGAAGCAGGAAGAACCCTCCCTGGCTTTTTGATTGACAACCAAGGGGTGTTTCATTAATTAATAATAAAAGTGCCGACTTCTCATAAAAATCAACATTTTTAAAGAATGCTTTCTCTTCACCCATAAATCAGTTCAGCAAGATAAAGTAATTCATGGATGTGGAGTGGTCATTTAACTGGACCCACTAATAATTAATTCAGCTTTAAACCTTCTCACCCACTCAAATATATTACACTCCATCGTAATGTGCTGTTGAAATGACATAAAAATAATACATCATACGTAAGGGTATCAGCACACATCTGTACAAAACCAACTATAGTTCTCGCAAAGCTAGAAAAAAATACAGATCTCAGATGTAAAATGGGGATTCAATTACATTTTATGTTCTTAATATGCTTTTCCTGCTACTTTGTCAAAATAGCAAAGGTCTGAATCTAATCCTAATCTAATTTAATTGTTCACATAAAAGTTTAATCTATGTAAAATTGAAAATGTATATTTCTTTCAGTAGATAAAGGGGACCATAAATTACTGCATTTACTTTCCATATGTAGATTAACTAGGCACTGAAGCTTTGCAGTAATTTATGGTCCTCTTTGGATATATTATAGGGACACACGCTTAACCTAAAGTCAATGAATAAATATAATACACAGCTGAAACTTCAAGTCTTTGCGGTTGTGGTATTTCATTTAAAATTAAGAGTTGTTCTAACCTGAAAAGATAAATATGAAAAATTATCAAATATCAGGCTGTATAAAACATTGTGTTTAATTCATGTTGAAGCAATCATGTTGCACATTT